ACCAGGGATGGAACCTGCGCCCCCTGCATTGGGAACATGAAGTCTTAGTCACTGGACCACCAGGGAAGTCCCTGTTTGTAAATTTTTTTGAAATTAAGCCCTTGTCAGTCATATGATCTAAAAATATTTTCTCCTAGTTGTCTTTTCATTCTGTTTATGGTTTCCTTTGCTGTGCAAAAACATGTAAGCTTAATTAGGTCCCATTTGTTTTTTATTTTTGCTTCTATTTCTATTGCCTTGGGAGATTGACCTAAGAAAATATTGCTACGATGTATGTCAGGGAATGTTTTGCCTATGATCTCCTCTAGGAGTTTTGTGGTGTTGTCTTATATTTAAGTCTTTAAGCCATTTTGAGTTTATCTTTGTGTGTAGTGTAAAGGTGTGTTCTAACTTCATTGATATACATGCCGCTGTCCAGCTTTCCCAATACCACTTGCTGAAAAGACTGTTTTTTCTGCATTGTATATTCTTGCCCCCGTGTTGAAGATTAATTGACCATAGTTTCCAGCCCTGGGTGTTCACTGGAAGGACTGATGTTGAAGCTGAAACTCCAATACTTTGGCCACCTCATGCGAAGAGCTGACTCATTTGAAAATACCCTGATGCTAGGAAAGATTGAGGGCAGGAGGAGAAGGGGACGACAGAGGATGAGATGGTTGGATGGCATCACCAACTCAATGGACATGCATTTGGGTGGACTCCGGGAGTTGGTGATGGACAGGGAGGCCTAGTGTGCTGTGGTCCATGGGGTCGCAAAGAGTCGGACACGACTGAGTGACTGAACTGAGCTGATGTAGTTTATTTCTGAGCTTTCTGTTCTGTTCCATTGATCCATATGTCTGTTTTTGTGCAAATACTACACTGTTGCGATTACTGTTGCTGGGAGGATTATGCCTCCAGCTTTGTTTTTTCCCCCAGGGTTGCTTTGGTAATTGTGGGTCTTTTGTGGTTCCATATAAATTTTAGGATTATTTTTTCTAATTTTGTGAAAAATATCACAGTTAATTAAATAGGGATTGCATTAAATCCATAGATTGCTTTGAGTAGCCCGAGCATTTTAACATTTAATTCTTCTAATCCAAGAGCATGGGATCTCTTTCCATTTATTTGAATAATCTTCAATTTCCTTTATCATTATTTTGTAGTTCTCAACATCTAAGCCTTTTACCTCCTTAGTCAGGTTTATTCCTAAATTTTTTTTTTTGGCAGTTTCAAAAGACACTTTTTATTTTACTCTCCCTTTCATTGTTAGTGTGAAGAAACACAGTGGATTTCTGTATGATCCATGCAAATGTTAATAAACCCATCAGAACCATGAGTCAGAGTAATCCACTTCACCTCAAACCAGTCTCCTGGAGCCTTTCTCCTCTCCTCGGAATGCTCCAAGGGTAGTCCAGTGTCCTCTCAGGCAAAGCAGATGCTGGTCAACAAGCTGACTGTCTGTAGAGCTTGCCATGAAGTGGCTTGTTCATGACCTGTTTCTGGGATCCCGGAAAAATGTTTTTGAGGTCTACCTGGAAAGTCTGGTTTTGGAAACCCAGTTGTTTTCCTGGGCGTCAGGAAGGTTGTGATCCAAGAGAATGCATCATAGTTTTATTTATTTGTTTATTCATTTATTTATTTTGGCTTGTGCATGGGCATTGAGCAGGGACTTCTCTAGTTGGGGTGCAAAGGAGCTTCTCTTGCTGTGGAGCTTGGGCTCTAGAGTGTGTGGACTCAGTAGTTGCAGCTCTCGGGCTTAGTTACCCCACAGCATGTGATATCTTAGTTCCCCGACCAGGGATCAAAGCCTCATCCCCTGCATTGGAAGGCAGAGTCTTCTTTTTTTTTTGTCTTTATTTTCGAAGGCAAAGTCTTAACCACTGGACCACTAGGGAAGTCCCAGTGTATCATGGCTTTAAATGAATCTGGAACTGAAAAGCACATTTTGTTTTTAAATTTACATTCAGTAACTAAATTGAAGGAGAGAACGATCATCTTAAAGCCAGTGGTCTCTTAGATAATGTGGAAGAAATATCTCAAAACACACCAAAAATGGAGAAAAAGAAACCAGGAAGGCAGAGACTTAGAGGACCAATCCATGTTGAGCTCACTGCCAATCAGATTTCCCTGAGCCAGTTCCTGTAGTCAGGAGATACTCCTTCCTGCCTGTGGTCTCGTAAGGTTTGAGCCTGCATTTTAAGTATGCCAGGTGATGCTAATACTGCTGGACCACAAGACAGCACTTTGAGTAGCAAGAACCTCGGCAGGGTTTGTCTCTCCTGTGTAATTGAAAGGGCTTACCACTGCCTCCACATTCTGTTGATGAAAACCTGATGGAAGGCAAGAGAAAGGATGAGGAAAATAAGTAATTTGCCTTTTTTAAAAAAAAAAATATTTATTTTTAGCTGTGCTGGGTCTTCGTTGCTGCACACAGGCTTTCTCTAGTTGTGGCGAGTGGGGCTTCTGTCCGGTTGTGGTGCGGGGGCTTCTTATTGTGGTGGCTTCTTTTGTTGTGGAGGACGGCCTCTAGGGTGCTCAGGCTTCAGTAGCTGCAGCACGTGGGCTTAGTTACCCTGCCAGCATGTGGGATCTTCCCTGAGCAGGGATCAAACCCATGTCCCCTGCATTGGCAGGCGGATTCTTAACCATTGGACTACCAAGAAAGCCCTAAACTAGCAATTTTCCTTTTAAAATCTCGTCTTTTTAATTTAAAAATGTCAAACCTCTGAATATTTGAAAGAATAATGCAGTAAACACCTATGTACTTTTCACCTAGCATCACCAGTTATTAATATTTAAACAATTTCCTCTTAAGGACATGCTTGAGAACGTAAGTTGCTCACATCACTTCCACTGTTGTTCACTGGTAAAAACTTTGGCATATGGTTTCATCTTGCTGCAAAGGAGACTAAGAAGTACAAGCTTAGCTTGTTAGCTCTTTGCCTGCTAAAGGGGGTACTGTCCTACTACTACATGAGGATGTGATTAAGCAGTTGCTTTTTAAAAAGAAAGGAGAGGATGGACTTCCCTGGCAGTGCAGTAGTTAAACTTCGCCTTCCAATGCAGAAGGTAAGGGTTTAGTCCCTGGTTGAGGAACTAAGATCCCACAGACCTCCCAGCAAAAAACCCAAATCATAAAAAAAAAAAAAAGGCAATATTGTAACAAGTTCAATAAAGACTTTAAAAAAATGGTCTACATTAGAAAAAAAGAGGAGGAAGACAGTGGATACTACATTAGGGAAAAAAAAAAAAGAGGAGGAGGAAGACAGTGGATACTACATTAGGGGAAAAAAAAAAAAGAGGAGGAAGACAGTGGATACTAGGGGACAATTACTCTGACACACCGACTTGCTGGATCTTGCAACCAGTTCCCACTTAAAAGTGAATTTTTGGAAAGACTGCAGCTAAATTTGCAGCCCATCTCTAGAAAATGTGTAGGACTTCCAAGTATGCATTTTATACCCTCCTCATTCTTGACTGTTCTAAAGTTTGTTTTTTTTTTTACAAGATTGATTATATTAAAGTTTATAGTTATTTTCAAGTTTTTTAAACAAGTTATATTAAAGTCTTTTTAACAAGTTTGATTATAAGTTAATAGTGACACTAAATATATAGAATGATTGAAATGCCCTGAATGGACCAAAACACATTTACCACAGCATCTTTGCTTACAACAGCATGCTTGCTGTCCTTAAAACTGTAACTACAGAGTTGTAAATTTTATGTTTTGATTTTGTCCATAATTTTTCAGCTTTTAAAATAGGAACTTAGAGAAAATGTTACAAAAAGATAATATATAAGCTGCTTTACACAAATCAAGATTCCACCAGCCACTAACATCTTATTGTGTAGACAATAGACTTGCTGGGTTCTTACATATCCCCTTGTTACACTACTCTTGATCTATTTACACCACTTACCTTTCAGACTTCTACTAATCTCTTTAGGTACCTTTTCACTGTCAAAATGTTAAAGAATATGCATTTAACGTTTATAAGATAGTGTGATTTTAGACTGTTTTAATCTGTCATAATGTCTATTTGCTTGGGTGTAAATTAGGTCCTTTAAGGGTTGATCATTTTAGCCTTCTTATTCCATCCTTTGGCCATATTACCCGTGAAAGGTATTTGAAGGCAAAGGATAAATCTCTCCTTTAAAGTTAACATCAGATTTTGCTCAACACAAGTCCCTTAGTAACAAAGTTGGAGTTAGGTTTTGTGATGTAGACCAGGGGTCCCCAATCTGCAGGATCTAATGCTTGATGATATGAGGTAGAGCTCATGTAATAATAATAGCAATAAAGTGTATAATAAATATGCTTGAATTACCCCCAAACCATCCCCCCATCCCTGGTCCGTGGAACAACTGTCTAACACAAAAACCGGTTCCTGGTGCCAAATGGGGTGGGGACCACTGAGTAGCCCCTCCTCCAACTTGAGGGCAACTGACACCCCTCCCCTTGCCCCCCGCCTCCACCCTTTACACGGCGGAAACTGGACTCTGGCTGCCGCGGACGTCTGGCGCTGAGCCGGGTGGTGCTGCCCTCCAGCCGCCGTTGGCCACCCGATCACGCTTCCCTAGGCGGAAGCCCCGTCAGACGCTGCGGATGGAAAAGCTCCAGGTCCAAACCAAACGACAGGACCGCTGGCCGAGACATGGAGGCCTGCGAGCCTCAGCGCTCAGCCCAAGAACCCAAGCCCGCCGGCTACCAACCGGACCGCGCCCCTGGCGTCCACGCCCCGCCGGGCTCGGGCCCCGAGGGTCGGCTCGACCCGTCCAGCCCCTCTGCCAGGTCTCAGAGCCTCGCGAGCCTCTAGCAGATGCGCCCCCTGGAGGTGCTTCCGCTGCTCCACCGCCGACGTCCCCGCTACTTTTGTGTCCACTCTCTCCAGTATCCGGCTTCGCGTGAGGCCCGCCAGCTCTTAAGATGGCGGCGTCGGCGTCGCGAGGTGCCGCCCCACGTGGACGCCGCTGGCCAATGGGCTTCTGCCTGTGTCGCCGGCCGGGCGCTGGAGGCGGAAGTGCCTCGGGCCGCCGCCTCCGTCCCGGCTGCGGCCCCTGCCGGTTACATAACTGGTTGAGGGCTCTGAGCGGCCCCACTTCCTGGCTCCCTGCGAACCAAGGATGCACTGAGCCCTAGAACGCCATCCGCTGCCGCCGGCTCCCGCCCGAGGTGAGGCATCCCGGGGTTCGGGCCTGCGGCGGAGTGCCGGGCCCGGCCGAGGGCGGGCGTCAAGGGAGGCAGGGGAGCAGTTCCGGCCCCGGGCGGCAGCGCAGTTGCGGGGTCCTGCCGGGGTGCAGGGGGCCCGAGGCGGCCCTGGCGGGGCGTGGGACAATCCGTCAATTCGAAGGAGGCTGGGGCGCGCCCCCCGCCAGCTGGCGCCCAGACATTTCCGCGGGGTTTCGGGGAGATCACAGAGCTCTCGTTTCCTGGGGCGAGGTGGGGGGGCCGAGACCCCAGGCTCGGGGCGCCCCAGGGGCGCGATCCCAATCCTTTTGCTTGGGCTGCCTCCGTGCCAGGCCTCGGGACGAGCTGGCGGGGAGATTTGGAAGCAGAGGGCAGCCTGCTCCTTGCTGCCCACCGGGCCTCGCGGGAGGTGCCGGGCCCGTCCTTTTCACAGTTCAGCGATTTGCCGCCTCGCCGGGCCCCACCGCTGCTTTGGTACTTGTTGCCTGGGTTGTAGTTATTTGGCGACTTTTTTTGCCCTCCCGTGAACTCTTGAAACTCTGGGACTCTTTCTCGGCCGTCTCCACTTCTTACTCCTTAAGCTGTACATTTTGGTTAAGACAGCTCAATTCCTTATGTTTTGGGGTAGTTTAAAGATTGGCCATGCAGACCCTTGCACCACCTCTGACCTCTGCCCCGTCGATTGGGCACTTCCCACGGAACAGAGGGAATCTGTAGTCTCCGTGGTTTGTTCCCCTGGTAAGATTTTCAGGGAGGCTGAACGCCTTCCCTGGACCACTAACAACAAATATCTGTGTGCTCAGGGAGTGATGGACCCCAGGGTCTGGGGGTGAGAGGAGGAGTTACTCTGCCATAAACGTGGCCATTGGCTGCTTCCTTGGTCTGTTTCACTCTGCCCAGTCCTTAAGCCATACCATTTTGTTACGTTTCTCTTGAAGGAAAAGGATAACAGCCTGACAGCCCTTTGGTACCTGGAATGGTTGTAATCAGAGAGTCAGAACTGAAGAGAACTTTGCTGGGTGCAGGTATTTTACTGGAGCACAGAAGGCAGAAAACTTAATGTTAACGCTTAACTGCCTGAACTGGAAAGTCAGTTATGACTGCAGGTCAGCAGTAGCAATACCACATTCTGTGAAGCACTTTGTATGTACAAATAAGAGTCAGAAGTCCTTCGGCCAAAAGTACTGGCTTGTGAGGCAGGGAGAAGGGGAGTCTTGGACAGCACTGAATTAAAAGTGGGCTGGAGCAAAACAAATGCTCTCTTCTTGCAAAAATCCCTGAATTGCTTTAAGCTTAGTTTGAGAAGAAAGGATTCAAGGCCAGAAGAAACTCAAGGGTGGCTGAAATAGAAGTCCTTGTCATTTAAAAAGTGGTCATGACTGGGCATGGCATAGGTTTTCATCTCCCCTGTTGTTGGAGTTTGTGCGTCAGAATTAAAGTGTACGTTGGCCCTTTGAGAAGCAGTGTGCCTGGGCTCCTCCTTTGGGCCACAGGTTGCTGAAGTTCCCATCTCACTGTGTTTCCAGAAGTGCTGGATTTCTCTGAAGATGGTTAAAACCTCTAAGTAACAGAGTCAGTGCATGGTGTGGTGTTCACAGGCCAAAATAAAAAATACACACACTATTTTAAAAGGTCTGTGTGTATGTCTTACCTTTAGCTTCTCCCCACTGTGACTTATGGTGACTTTATCACCATCTTTATTTTAACCACACCCACTCTCAGACTTCAGATATGACCTGTTGATGTTGCTTGGCAACTTGGCCTCGCCTGTGTTGGAAGAAAATTCCTGGATGTTAGGAGATTTGAGAAATGAAGACACTAGAACTAAGAAGGGTGGGGCCGTCATTGCTTACCTGATGCTCTGCCCTGCAGACTGTCCCAGCCTCAGTGGACTGGCTAGCAGCAGTTTGTCTTCTAGCAGCTGAGATGTGTTTAGACTAGGTGGACCCAGCATCCTTACCTGGCAGCAGCCACAGGTATTCAGAGCTCTGAGGTTAGGGCAGTGCAGATCTCTGCCAAAATGCCCCAAGGTCTCTGCTTGCTGCTGACAGCTCTCCTACCTGAACAGATAGCTGGCTGCTTGTCAGCTGCCATGTCTTCTCTTAAATGGAGGTTCCTCCCTTTCCACATCTTTGCCTCCACCACCTCCTCCCCTGACTTTGCTTTCTGGAAGAAACCCATGGAGTCCTTCTAGCTCTCCCACCTCAGTTCCTCGTTTGCAGAAATGAAGATTGGGATCTGGATCCTGCATCCTGCTTCCGTCCATGCAAAGCGCTTTCGAGTAAAACACTGATCTGCAAAGTGATGTTGGAACTCCTGGGTCTCTTTCTGGCCAAGTTCGAAGGTTGAATTTCATTCAACAAATGTTTCTAAGTGTCTTTGATAATTCTGGGATCAGGCCTCCTTCCTGAAATATGATCATTTTAGCGTGACTTCTGATCGAGGCTGGCTGGCAGGCCAGATTAGGGTTCCCTGAAGCCCAGTGCTGATTAAAAAGAGGTTAAAGAGAGACCTGTGTGTTTGAAAACCCAGTAAGCGCATGCGTAGTAGGGTTGACACTCTCCTCTGAACTGAAGTGTTTGCTCGGTGCTTCTGGAGTGGTGGGGAGGACATCTGAACAGGGAGCCAGGGCTCTCTGCACGTAGTGGTTTGGGGTCTGTGTCAGCAGTTGACCCAGTGCTCCATCAAGTGCCGCTCTCCAGAGGTTGACTGACATGTGACAGTCACCTCGAGGTGCCCACAAGCAGAGCTTGGATGGTCAGGGCATCACCTCACATGAGGGCCAGTCAGTCCCTAGCCCCATCCTGAGGGCCTCTGATACTCCCCATCTCCTCACCTGAGGCTGACTTCCCAGTCAGGCAGCCCCAACACTTGTAATATTGATGACGAGAACCACCTATGAGTGTGATCACGTAGAGACCTTAAAATGCCTCTTCTAGTTAGTGGACTCTCAGTGTCAGCATTTAAGGTCCATGTCCTTGAAGTAACCCGGCTCTTGTGCACTGATGCCAGACATAAACATTCTAAACATTCTAATAATATTCACAGTTGTAGGGACTTTACTAATGGTCCAGAGGTTAAGACTCCAAGCTTCCAGTGCAGGGGCTGTGGGTTCGATCAGGGAACTAATCAGTCAGGGAACTAAGATCCATTATGCCACCTAGCCAAATTAAAAAAAAAATTCGCATTTGTAAAGAAGCAAAGAGGAACTGATTGGGGAAAAGGACTCAGAACAAATGTTTGTCCGCTTGCTTCCACAGGAAGACCAGAGAAAACAGACCACATTGAAAAAAGAAATTCTTCCAGTTCTATTTCTTCTTATTATTAAAACAGTAAATTGTGTTCCTCTGTTTTGTTTCCTGCATTCCTGAAATAGGGCAGCAAAGTACTGGGGCAGAAAAGTAGTGAAATTTGAGCCCATCTTAAAAATAACAGAAGAAAGCAATTTCTTTTTATAAAATAGTCTCTGGGTAATTGTCTCTTCGCTGCTGCAGTGATTTTTATCTGGACAGTGTTACTACAGCGATGTTTCTATAGTTCCGGCAGCACTTGGTGGTTTGCTCCTTTCTAACAAGTTGTTTCTTTTTAGATGCCTCTTTGTGACTCTAGTTGAAAACTATTCAGAAGGTCTTGCTGGCCAGGTATTTGCCGCTCTTTTTACTCTTAGCTTCAAATTACAGTGTTGCTTCTCTTCTGGCCTCCTGTGTTTAACTTTTTTGTGGAAATACACAGAAACGTACAGAAAAGTACTCTGCTTGACATTTGGTCACGCTGTTAATATACCAGTAAAACCTCCACCTCAGAAGCCCCTTGGGCTTCGTACCTGGTAAGCCCTCTCCTATTTAAAAAGTTTGCTTTCAAGTAGGAAACTCAGGAATCTATTAATCTTTATTTTACTGAGGACGAAGTGAGGAGGGGGCTTTTGAGTTTTTGCTTCATATTGTGTGTTGATTCCTATTTTACTGTGAACAAAGTTTTAAACAGCATTTAACAAATGGGCGATGTTCTTTTTTGTTTTTTTGTTTTGTCTTGTTTTTAGATGGTTGTCCTGAAGCCTTTTAAGTATTTTTAAAATTGATCTTTATATGGCCACTGAATTTTCTTTGTAATGATTGCACAGGAAATATTTTTAATATTTTTAACTCTTTAAAATAATTTTCTTACCCACAACTGCCTCCTCTTTGCTTCATTACAAGTGTGGGTCTGTGTTTATAATGTTTATTTCTGGCATCGGTGCATAAATGCTGTGCTATTCCAAGGGTACAGGGCTTAAACACTGGCACTGAGAGTCTATTCTGGGGCAAAATGGATAACTACTCTACTTATAATTTGAAGAGACATTATAAAATTCCCAAGTTGTTACTAATTAGAAACAGATTATTTAATATAAAAAATGTGTTCAGAATTTTCACATACCTCCTGGAAGTCTTTTATTTTTTTCTGATAATAAAAACAAGCTCATTGTTTAAAAAAAAAAAAAACTCAAATGAGGCAGGAGTGAGTGATGTAAAACAGACGTCTGCCTTAATTCCACAGGCAAATGCTGAGAGGAGGTTGAATTTCTTTTTAAAAAAATTTTTTGTTATAAAAGTTAACCACATGATCAAGTATTAATTTATACCGAATTTCACCCACTTTCACATTTAATATCTGTTGGATTTTGAACGATCTTAAATACAAACCCAGGGACACAGAGATTAAAAAGTCAAACATAAAATAACAAAGCCCAGCAGAGTCAGGTGGAAAAAGCACAGAAATGCTAGAAAGGGCTGGGGGGGCGGGGCTGGTTTGCTGAAGGGGCAGCAGCGAGAAGCAGGCGGGGTTTCTGAACCCGAGACCCCATGGCTGTGCTTTTCCCCTGCAAACTGAGCCGCCAGCAGCGTCCCATTTCAGCCCCAGACCCGGGCAGTGCTGAGGGTGCCCGCCTCTGGAAGAACCCATTCTCCTTCTTATCCTGAAGAATCTAGTGACAGCCCGAGTTTCAGGTGCGGGCCCCGCACGTTCACTAGTCCCTGGAAGAGAACCTGGCACCTGGCCGCCATGGCCACCGTTTGCAGAGGGCTGGCTTCGACCCGCCTGGCAGGTGCTCTGCACATGTCCTGTGAGGACTCGGTCCCCACTTCACAGCCCTGCGGGGACCCAGGGCCCACACGTGGCGGGGGGAGCCAGACAGCGCCTGTGCACCTGGGTGTGTGGCCTCGAAGCCTTGCCTTTCACGTGGACTCCACTGCTGTAAGACATACTGTGAACCAGTGATCCCTCCTGGTTTTGGCGGGGAGGGCATGGGCTGACGCATGTCCCGGAACTCTTGACTCACGGAGGCGGGTCAAATAGTGAAGGAAAACACCCTGAGTGATGCAAGCAGATCCCTTGCCTTTTCCTGAGGCTTTGGGAGGGGCGCGTCCCCCTGACAGGTGTGTTAACCCCTCCCTGCCCAGCCTGCTGGATGGCATTCTTTGTGTTCACTGATGTGCTGTTTGCCTCGGAATTTTTCAAGCAAAGGAAGCGTTTCTGAGAGTATGTAGGTAAAAGAGCAAGAAAACACACACCTTCCCCGCCCCCACCAGCCCCACCGGTGATCAGAGATGTCCATCTCTGCTCTTTACTGCAACCGCAATGTCTAGAGTGGGGCCTGGGTTTTTAATACAACTTTGATAAATAAATGAATGGATTCTTTTTAGATGGGAGCGGTGGTCATAGAACCTCTGGCCCAGAGGGAAGCACGGGCTGACCCCCGGACTGTTCCGGACCACTGGTTGTTGTCTTGTTTTTAAGTCAAGGGCTGGTTCACATGCTACCCAGCCAGCAGATCTGAAGTGCGCAGGTGAACACGGTTGACGACCCTGACGGACATGGGAATATTGTCTCTGGCCCCGGGAGTCATCGTGTGCCCCCGCATCGACGGCATCCTATGTCTGCCCCAGCCACATTCTCATTGCTCTTACGGTCAGTTTCTTTAGCCAGTTTTAGAATATCACAAAAATGGAATGCCCCACTGTTAACAGTTCGCAGGTGAAGTGATATGTTTTTAAATTGTGTGAGGAGCCTGTGGGCTCCCCTTGGGGCATCGTGTGGTGGGCTGGAAGAGGGAGGTGCTTTGGACCCACAGCGTCTCGTCTCCTGTAAATTATTCATATTTCTCCTCCTACTCTCAGGCTTTGAAAGGCTCCCAGGCTGCTGTAGAAACGGCTCCCCCACCCCACCCCCAGATGGCTGCTCACTTGAACAAAGGAGCTGAGCTGAGCTGCGTGTTCAGTTTCCCTCACTTCCTGCTCTGAGCCCTTCAGTCCATTTTACTGATGAGCAGGGCAGTGCCGTGTGTCCATCACTGGCTTGTTTTTCCTTTTTTGCACCATCCATCTTGAAGGCACGAGCTTGGAATCTGTTGTTGGATTTGTCAAACCAATAACTCTGGCGCCTGCAGAATTTCACATTGGAGGGCCCTGGTGGTCTTTAACTCTGCTGTGGACGAGTATGCACTCATCTTTCCCGTGCTTTGTTTGAGAAGGGGCCTGGAGTGCAGGGGCAGGCCAGGGCGGTGCTCTGCCCCGTGGGCATTGTGATGGTGCCAGGAAACTCCTCCAGAAACTAGAGCAGTCCCATCCCGAGGCCCCAGCTCCTGAACCCCCAGCACTTGGCAGCTGGGGGGTGGGGTGGAGGATACGCCTGGGATGTTGGCGTTTACTCTGTCTTCTGGTTGGGCGCTCGCAGAACCTCAGGAAGTGGGGTCTGGGAGCACATGCCCAGGTGATCAGGCATCACCCCCAGCCACTGCATGGCATCAACACAGGGACCCGAGAGGTCATTTCAGCTCAGAAGGAAGATGACTCTTTCAGACAGCCCACGGGGACAAGGTTTAGGGAAGGAGAAAGGACAGATGGAGAGGTGAGCGGGCTGACCCTTCATTGTCTTGGAGAATCCAATTTCTGTCCCTTCTAGAAATGCTGCACTCAGCCAACCCCGAAGGCCAAGGGCAGGTCGCAGACCAGCAAGCGCGGGGAGGACTTGCTGCAGGCCTGAACCGTGTCTTCTCACACTGTGTCCCTGCCGTCCTCGGGTCTGTGTGTCTGTGTCTTTGTAGGGAAACGCACTGAAAGGTGGTCTGTATGCCTGCGGCTCAGCCCCCCGGACTCGGGACAGAGGGCTGACTCGGGGGCTCTGCTCTGGTTCCCCTGCCGCCTCTGTCCTCCAGTGAGTCTTCAGAGTCCTTGTCCCTTAAGCCCATAGGGCAGCACATAGCAACAGGAGGTTAGTACTTGACTGAAGGTTCCAGGTGGACAAGCGGGGTCCCCACAGGTGTCAGATGTCAGTCTTCTGGCTTCTCCCCCAGTGGTGGGCCAGCACTGCCCACCATACCACCTCCATCTTGACCAGCCCCCCGACCCCCCGAACATCCCTTTCTCTCTGGCACGTGGGTGCCGGATTCTCCCTCCTCCACTCCTGTCAGTTGGGCTAGGGCAGATCAGACACTATAATATACTACATTTCCCCTTAGTTAGATGTGACATGTCTCTATTTTTAAATCAAGGCATCTAAAGAACGGCCTTTGAAAACATCCAAGTACTTTTAATAGGGATGTGAGAATCCACAAATAGCTGTGTGTCTTAGAGGCCAGTGTTCTTCATGAACGCTGAACAGGGAAATCCTGCCCCTTTGGTCAAGAGCGTTGTCACAAGACACTAGGGTGAAAATGTATAAATCCCAGGACAAGCGAGTTGCTCATTTATTATCAGTCTCTCCCTTTGCGGTCACTCCTCAAGCTTTAAAATGTTTTAAAACCAACTTTATTGAAGTTTAATATACATAACAACAGAATATACCCAATGAGTTTAATACATGTGTATATACGTTTGTGTGTGTAACCACCATCGTCAAGATACGAAACATTTCCGTCCCCTTGGGACGTGCCCACCCCAGCCTCTTTGTAGTCAGCCCCCTGGCACAGGTACCACAGGTCAAAGCCTTGCTTCCTGCTGCTCCCTGTGGCGCCAGCTCCCCAGGTATTCCTCGTCTACCTATGGCCTTGCAGGGTACCTGAGCCCCTGGCTCTGAAGCCGGGGTTGTTGGTCACCGGCACTTGTCCTGCCAGCTCTGGGCAGAGACTGTGGAGGGTGAGCCGGCACCTCCTGTCCTGCAGCTCCTCCTGCGGGGCTCAGAGCAACCCAGGTCTTGGTCGAGAACCTGGTGGGCACAGCCAGTGAGACACCTGGAGCTCTGCCAAGGGTGATGAGGGCAGGCAGTCTTGTCAACCCCGTTTCTCAGGCTGGCCTGTGCTCGTCAAACCCCAGACCAGCCTCCTGGAGCCAGTCTTCCAGGGAGGAGGAGGGCATGGCGCTTCCAGCAGCAGGAGGGCTCTGGCCTTGGGCACCCTTTGGCCTCTGGCGTCGCCTGGGCCCTCACAGTGCCCCCGCACAGAACTGTCGTTTCCCCCATCCCGACCCCAAGTTTTATTAAGGAAAATTTCAAGTAGATAGAAAAACGGAATGTGTAAACAGTCAGTTCCTGTTTTATATAAACCTGCCACCTAGATGCAACCGCTAACAGCATTTTATCACATTTGCTTCCTAAGCAGTTGAAAAGATTTTGAGTTATTTAGTTTTAAACCTGATGATGCCTCGTTCTGAAGTATTTCAGCAGATAGAGCATCTCTAAGACCGTCTACAGGAGAACTCCACCTTCCACGTCTGAGACAGTTAGTACCAGGTTCATAATAATTTCATAATAAATTCATCATCTGGCGTCCAGCCCATATTTAAGTTGCTCCCAAGTGTTTGACTTTTCGTGTTTCCCGGAAGGAGTTTGCACATCACGTTTGGTTGTAGGTCTCCTTGTCTCTTTCAGTCTACTTCTGATTTTTTAATGACGCTGAGTGTTTGGAGACCAGGCGGCTGTCATGTGGAATACCACCCATTCTGTGTGTGTCTGATGTCGTGGTGCCCGTGTACTGGGTGGCCTGGAGGCTTGATCTGCTTCAGGCCCAGCACTTTAGGTGGGGCCCTGAGGCCTTTGTGTGTTTCACTGGAGACACTGGCGGGCTGGCCTCCATCCCTGGGTTTCCTGTGGCTTCAGGATCTCAGGGGGTGCAGGGTTCAGCTTTTCCTTGGCACTTGCACGGTTCTGGGGGTGTAGGTGCTTCGTCAGAGCCCACACTTGGCCCTCTTGTCTGGATTGAGCATAGCTTCCTGATTTAGTCGTTGGAACTCATGACCCCTGCCTGACTTGAACTTCTGGCATCTCTCAAAGTCTTTCTCTGTACATGTATCTTCATCACCTGGATGGGGGAGGAGAAATAGCCCACCCAGTAAGTGCCACTCTAAATCCAGCAGGTCTCTGGGGCCCCCTGGCCCAGGCCTGGGGCCGTTTGAGCTCTGGGCCATAGGATGCCACCAACCCAGGCAGAGAGGTGGGGCCGTGTGCCCTCCCAGTGGAGGAACAGCAGGTGAGGGGAAGNCCACCCAGTAAGTGCCACTCTAAATCCAGCAGGTCTCTGGGGCCCCCTGGCCCAGGCCTGGGGCCGTTTGAGCTCTGGGCCATAGGATGCCACCAACCCAGGCAGAGAGGTGGGGCCGTGTGCCCTCCCAGTGGAGGAACAGCAGGTGAGGGGAAGTGGGGCGGGTGTGGGTGCTGTGTGCAGCTCAGTGGGGCTGAGAGGGGAGAGAACAGAGACCAGAGGCCAGCTGCCCTCCGCTGGGAGGAGGCTCAGGAGCATCCCGGGTGAGCAGGGAGGGGGCCTCTGGGTGTCTCCATCCTCCCAGGCCTTCTCTCCAGGGTGGGGTGTCTTTGATGCCTGGTGTGGGAATGCCCCTGAGGGGAGAAGCCCTCCACCCATGGGGCCAGTGCGAGCCTTCCCATCCTGCCAGCCTTGCAGATTGCCTGAGGAGGAGGTTCCCAGGGATGCAGGGATGCGCCGCCCTCCTGACACCCCTCTCCCGCAGGTGTGAATGACAGAGGCGGTGCCGTCCAGCGCGCTCAGCGAGGTCAGCCTGCGCCTTCTCTGCCACGATGACATAGATACCGTGAAGCACCTGTGCGGCGATTGGTTCCCCATCGAGTAAGTCCAGCGGGTCTGCAGCTGGGGGCTGGGCAGGGGGTGGCGGGGTCTTACGTGCAGAGTGCTGAAGCTGGGGGGCTCGCTGTGTTGGTGCCTTGGTGACCAAGAGCCCCCTCACCCTTCGGGGCCCCCGGCCCTGCTCCCTGGTGCCCCCGGGCTCTCTGCACCTCACCATGTTCTTGTACAAAGAGATCGGGAAGGGCCTTGCTGAGAATCTTCAGTTACAAAGACTTTTCGTGCAGTGCTGCTTATGACATTCAGGAAATTGAGAAGCAACCTAAGTGTCCTAACAGAAAGGAATTGGTTCCCTACATCAGGGGATATGTACATGCAGAAATACAATATTATCCAGCCAGGGACAAAGAAATCTGTCCTCGAGGTTTATATGTTTTTGTGTGTGTGTGTGTGAGACAGTAGGTGAAAAAAGCGGACTGGAAGCCAGAATATGCCACAATCCCTCTTTTATTTGAAAGCATGTACAAGATAAAAACTTAGGAGGAAATGTGCCACGGAGCAGATGTTTTTGGTAGCTCTTTGGGTGGATGATTAGCAACTACAAGTTTTGTCTGGTTGTGCTTGTCTGTTTCCTGCGTTTTCCTGTAACATGCTCATAGAGCACTCATAGTGAGGAAAAATAGTACAAACTCTTAAAAATTGAAAATAAACAAGATCCTGCCAACATCACATCTCCGTGAGCCTCAGCCTCAGACAGACCTGTTGAAGCTGGTCGCCCACCCCTTACTTCCCTGATGGGAGTGTGCTGTGGGCTAGCAGTGGCTTCTTAGAAAGTGAACATCAGCCCAGCGGTGGACAGGAATCCAGCAAGTCCATGGAGTAGACCCTGCTGAGGGTGACCTGGGGCAGGTGGAGCCCCACCGGCCGGAGCCTCTGTGCCTCCGAGGAGCCCGGCCTGCCTGCCTCCTTGGAGACGGCTGGGCCGGAGGCCTCGGGTTCTGAAGATGGTGGACAGAAGTGTAGTCCCCTCGGGCCGTGTGGTGGCAGCTCACTCCTGGCTGCTGTGCTAGTCTGACATGCTGGTCAGAAGGTGGGACTGATGGGGCCCAGGATAGGAGGCTGGGTGGTGCTCAGCTTCTGTGGAACTTTCTGGCAGGGGCGGGGGTGGGGGGGCAGTGGCCTCTACAGAGCAGAGCACCTCCCTGGGTCTCCAGCGGGGTCTGAGACCCTCCTCTGCTCTTGGTCCCAAGAAAGGAATCCCGGGCTAACGTAGCCCGTCAGGAAACCAACCTCACTCCCACCCATCCGAGTCTCCTGGGTTGCAGCTGACTCTGCCTTTTCAGCACTGCCTCGCTGCTCTGTTCCCCGCTGCCCTCGGGGCTCTTGTTGAGCCGCCTAGCGGCCCTGGACACACCTTGCCCTTGTGTGCCCGAAATTCAGACGTCACTCAGCAGTGAACGGTCCTGTCTTGACAGAACGGCTGTCAGAAGTTGCAACTCTGAGGGTGATGCACTTTGGTGGAGACTGGGTGGTGGGCAGACCCTGAGTGGTGGATGGAGCAGCCAAGGGTCCCCCGTGGTTCCACTCTCTGAAGCACAGCAGTGGTTGGACCTGACCTTCAGCCGGTCCACCTGCGTTTGTCTCCTCCTCAGGTACCCAGACTCATGGTATCGTGATATCACCTCCAACAAGAAGTTCTTTTCCCTCGCCGCGACCTACAGGGGTGACATCGTGGGGATGATTGTAGCTGAAATTAAGAATCGGACCAAGATACACAAGGAGGTGAGTGTCTGCAGCGATGGCCCAGGGGCTGACACCTCTGGACACTGCCCACTCTGTGCCCCATCCTCTCGGGAGCCCGGACAGCGTGTGAGAGTTGTAGGTGGTTGGTTTCGTTCTGTGTGTTTGTGACACAGTCATAACGTGCATTAAGTTGCACGACCTGACTGTGGGCTTCACAGCGACTGTCGTGGTGAAGTCAGGAGGAGGGTGATCGGTACACGGGCTTCCTGTGGCTTCGAGTCATAAGAGCCGGAAGGAGGCTTCCTCCCTGAGGCCGGTGGCATGTCCACCTGCATCCAGGTTAACTGTGGGGTGGAGGCTGGGGTGAGAATGGGCCGGGACACAGGCTGAGTCACAAGTGTCTTTGCAGTGAGGGAGAGAAGACCTCACACACGGCAGAGCCTTCGGTTCTTTGTGAGGCAGAAGAACGTGAGAACCTGGTCCTGGTCAGAGGCGTGGCTCTCCCAGTCCGGGGGTCCCTCTCCAGAACCAAGAGGCCGCGCGGGGAGTCGGGTGGCTCGGCCACCCCCACCTGCCTCCCGCTGTACTCCGGGACCCCATGGGACCGTGTGGGATCCTCCAGTTACAGCGCCCATGCCCTGTGGGGCCGCCTTGTCTCCTGGCACGTGGGCTGACACGGGCTGAGGGCCCCCTGAGCGGCGCTTCCTCCCGCTGTGACTGCTCTGATCCAGCTTCACTAACCCTCCCGCCTGGCCTACCACCCTCCCCAAGAGAAGCAACTTTGCATGTGCTGTGTTAGCAGAGGTTTCTAAGAGAAGGGCCCACACCCTCTTGCTTCAGTGGGGAGGGGTGGCCCTCCATTGTCCCCTGTCCTGGGTTCTCCTGCCCCGGTGTCTCCCAGGTGTAGGTCCTGGAAGTCGGCCTGGGAGCTGTGTCGTGCAGTGGGCCCGGGGCCTCCACTGCTGACCCGGCCGTCTCTGACTGTCTCTCTAGGACGGAGATATTCTGGCCTCCAGCTTCTCCTTGGACACACAGGTCGCGTACATCCTCAGCCTGGGAGTTGTGAAGGAGTTCAGGAAACACGGGATAGGTAAGGGGCCCCCCCAGCTCGCTGCTGCTCGCTGCCAACTCTCACAGGAACTGCTTGGTCTCTCTCTTGCTCTGTCCCTCGGCCCTCTGTCGGGGCCAGACCTGCACCCTCCCTTCATTCCCTGCCCCTGACATATCTGCCGGCCCCACCCACTCTCGGCCTTCAGCCCTTCTTCTTTCCACGTTTCGCTGGGTCTTTCTGCTGTGGCCTCCTTCCCAGACCTGGTGAGGTCAGATGAACAACCCCTTCCGAGCATCCTCGTTAGAGAACGGGCCACTCTGACCGTGCCTCTTGCCACACCCCCAGCTCACGTCCACCCGAGGGTTTTCTTGAGGAAGAGTAGAAAGTGTGATTGAGGGAATGGTCCCAGCCACGGTTCATCAGATGCCCGCCACCCTGGGGGCCCTGCCACCCGCATAGCTCCAGACTCCTGTTCTGCACGGCCACGCGGCCAGTGGGCGTCAGGGTCTCCCCTCGTAACCCAGGCCCGTCTGCCCATGTTTTCCTGGGCTGAAAGGGCATTGAGTTTCGCTGTAGGTCCATCCCCTGGGAGGGACCGTGGCCAGCTCATATCCTCTTCCGGGACACCCGAGCCTCAGCTGACAAGCTCCACCAGGGGGTCAGATGTTAGGTACTCCAGCAATGAGTGGTTCTGGAAGGTCGGCCTTTGCCTCACACTCTCTTCCCCCCACCGCCCCTTTCCTCTCACCCTCAGGGTCCCTGTTACTTGAGAGTCTAAAGGATCACATATCAACCACTGCCCAGGACCACTGCAAAGCCATCTACCTGCACGTCCTTACCACCAACAACACAGCCATAAACTTCTACGAGAACAGAGACTTCAAGCAGCACCACTATCTCCCTTACTACTACTCCATCCGCGGCGTCCTCAAAGATGGCTTTACCTACGTCCTTTACATCAACGGCGGCCACCCTCCCTGGACCATCCTATATCCTTTCTCTCTCGGGGGCGAGGGATGGTGGCTTCCTAGTGGGGTCTGTGCGCCAACTGAAGCCACAGTTGCCTTCACGTGGCACCCTTGAGACCAAGTTCATGGGACCCAAGTGTTGTGGGTGAGTCTGACCAGCACATGTTGACAGGATATGACAGTCTGGTGTGGACGCTGGGAAAGTAGGTGCCCCCTGGACGTCAGCCTGGCGTGAGGGGAGGGTTTTCTCGCTCCTGGCCCAAGGTCCACCCGTCAGGTATCTACTGAGAGCCTCCTGTTCCAGGTCGAGGTGGATACAGCAGTGACTCAGACAGACAGAAGCCCCTGCTCTCATGCTAGCAGGGAGAGAACAAGCACAGGAGGCAAAAAGAGCTGCTTGTTGATTCTGAACTCTGGATTCAAGCCTGCCTTGTCGGGTGCGTGACCCAGCTGGGTTTCCCTGCCCTCAACCCTCCTCTTCAGCCTTCCTCTTCAAGGGCCACTTCTCTCTGGCCCTTGACAGATTCGATGGAGGCCAGGAGACTTCCTAACAGTCACAGGGAGCAGCCCCCCAAATAATGTGTGTATGTGAGAGACAGAAGTTAAACGAATGAGTCTAGGCTTTATCCATTTCACAGGAAAATAAACAGGAATGACAGGGGTGACCCAAAAGCCTGTAGGCCTGGCTCACGTGAAGGGTGGGGAGCTCTCTGTGGGCGTCCACGGGGTCAGGACTGCAGACCCCTCCTCATCGCAGGGATAGGGCCCTGCGTAGGGGCAACAGTAGCTCTTGCTCCGCCAGACCCTGCCCCTGGCACCCAGTTGTGTGCAGCCTCAGTCTGGGGTCCGGGGTTGTGGGGCTGCACCCAGAAGGTCCTTTGCTACTTTGCACAGCAGAGCCCCTCCATCTGATGGGGCTCCCAGCCCTGCAGAGGCTGCACAGGCTCATGGCCGCCCACAGAAGCGGTGTGTTATGTGCAGGCTGGCCCTGCGGGTCACCATGCTGACCGAGCGGCCCAGGGTGTGCAGGCAGGCGAGGCGGAATCTTCCTTAACGGAGCCGCACGGACTACATCCAGCACCTGGGCTCTGCACTAGCGAACCTGAGCCCCTGCTCCATCCCACACAGGATCTACCGCCAGGCCCAGAGCCTGCTCTGCAGCTTCCTGCCATGGTCGAGCATCTCCGCCAAGGGCGGCATCGAGTACAGCCGGACCATGTGACACCAGCCAGGCAGCCTCCGCCTGGCCCCTACCCCCGGCATCTGGCGGACGCCGCCTTCCTGGCCATCTGACTGTGGCTGTCCTCTGCAGAGGAACTGGTGGCCACCTGCCGGGCCTGTTGGCCCACCCCAGCTGCAGGCCGGTGCTACGCGGGTTCGGGAGCAGAGCAACGTGGGGCATGCCCTGTCTCCCCAGGTACCCGGAGCAGGGGGTGCGGGAAGCGGAGCAGAGCCTAGGGGGTGACAGTCAGGGAAGTGGGGGGCCCCGCGCTGTCAGCAGAGAACAGGCGGCCCCAGGTGGGCATGTGCCACACAGGTCATGGGTTGACAAAGCCCAGGGCCAGGGGTTCCCTGACCACCTCTTGGAAACTTTTGGAGGAAAAACAGTCCTTGAGCCCTGGCCAGAGCGTCGTCTTTTCACGTCCTAAACTCCTTTTTAAAAAAATAACATACTTACGTGTTTCAAGAAGTTGAAAATTTGCGGAAAGATCACGTCTCCTGCCCCTGGGCCCCGGATGCTCAGCTTCTCCTTCCCGGGACCGTGTCCCCAGCCGTGCTTCCCTCAGTGTGCACGTGGCCTTGACAGCGGCAGCTGCGCCCACTCACCCTTTGAGCTCCTGGCTGAGCGCTCTGCCCGGCCACGGCCTCTTCTGAGAGCCGTGGGGACACCAGGGTGCACTCCTGTGGGCATGACCTGGAGCAGGTTGTGGCGGGGGCTGAGCCCACACGGCAGGGCTCCGTGGCCTCCCGGGCTGGCACCCCTGTTGGTGCCATGGTTTGTGCTGGGACTGAGGGGAGCTGGTGGCCCCTGGAAGGGACTCTGGGCCTGGAGGAGTGCCAGCGCCTGGCTTGGAGCTCCTAGGCCAGTTCCCCGGGGTGGGGGCAGAGCGTTTCCGCCCTGGCCTTCACCCTGCTCCCCTCTTGTCTACCCCACAGGCTCTCCCAGGCCTCCTACCCGCTCTGAAAACCTTCAGCTCCGCTGAGCCCCGGCCCGGCCCTGCGTGTGCGCGCCGGCCCCATGGGCGGCCCTGGTGGCAGCATTCACTGTGGTCTGTTTTTTCTGCTGCCCCGGGCACAAGACTGTGGGAAGGGGCTTCTTCTCTGCGCCCCTCACCGGCCTCCCTCCTTCACAGCCTGTTCCTTCCAGCTCCTTCCTCCAAAGCCAGATTTAACTTCTTGGAGGGAAGAACCCAAGTGTTACGAACACACTTGACCCTAAAGACACAGGAGCCTGAGAACAACAAGGGGTCGAATACTGGGAACCCCAGCCCCTTGTCCAGAGCCAGCCCCCAGAGGCCCAGGGATGGGGAGCAATCTCATCCCTCCACCTGGGGCTGGGGCTCCTGGGGGACAGCCAGGGAGGCCCCTCACCCACACCCTGAGGTCCGACTCTCAGGCTCCGCTCCCCACATGGACCTCAGGATGATGGGCCGGATGCTGACACCCCCGCCGGGAGGCTGTCCTCCCACGGGCTGGCTCTGTTCTGTCCCGGGTGACCGGAGCTGCCCGGCCGACGGTGGACGTGCCATTCACCTGAGCTGCTGCCGGGAGCCAGGCTGAGGACGTGTGCCGCCAAGGATCCCCAGGGTCCTGGCCCCCAGGCCCCCAGCCCGGTGAGCTGCAGCTCCGAGGCCTGGCCGGATGCAAAGGGGACAGGGGACATGCTGCGCACTGCGTTGACCAAGTGAGACCCAGCCTTTGGGGCTGGGGGCAGTCACGTGCCTTGTGGTCCCTCCGTCTCTGGGGCAGAGACTCTGGGTGTGTGCATGGGCCCCCCCCAGAGCTGCTTGCTGCCCACCCTGGCTTCTGGAGCAGACGGGGTGGTGCAGAGTTGTGCATGGCCCAAGAGCTGGAGAGGGAACGTGGCAGGTGGAGCTGCATGACCATGTCCTTCCCTCCCTCGGAACTTCCAAGCCTGGGGGCTCCTGGGATGAAGGGCATCTGGGCAGGAGGGCCTCGGCCTCCCCTCCTCCGAGCTGACATCAGTTTCACGCTGAGGCCCAGCTAGGTGTCCTCCCTAATCTGAATCAACGATGACCATGTGATTTTTTTTTTTTCCGGCCCTTGGGGTAAGGGAAGAGTCTTCCAGAAGGTTCCACCTTGGACATTGGTAATGAGCTCAGAGGCCTTGCCCTGCTCCTCCATCCCCGCCTCCTAATCATTGCAGTGTCCAGCCCAGTGTTGAACAGATTGTAGTGTTTCTTCTCATTACAAATAAATAGACTTCAATTGGTCACATTCGGTCTTTGCAGGCTCTTTGCACTCCTGGCCTTGCCCCTTGGGCCCACCCTGAGGCTGAGGGCAGCCCAGGAGCTGCCTGTCCCCTGGCAAGTCCCAAGGCCGGCTTCCAGCTCAATGGGCAATTGTTTTTTACAATTCTAGTTGTAACTTTCCCTGCTAAGGAATGTAGCCCTGGAAGAGGCTCTAGAACTGATGACAAAGGCAGTGATCAGGCAGGGGTTCTGCCTCTGGCCTCCCTGGGGACAGGGGTCATGCCTGTCCCTCCATCAGACAAATGAGGAAAACTGGTTGAGGGGCTGGGAGTAGCCCAGGAGCCACACAGCTGTGAGCAGTGGGCCTGAGAGCCCAGCCAGGTCGGGCCCCTCCACAGCTTGGGTGCGTTGCTCCCAAGGGCTGGTCCTTCCCCAGATGGCCCTCCTGTGGGACAGGGCCTGGGGTGGTGACCCCAACTTGGACCAGGGACCAGCATCTCCAGAATCTGCCATCTGAGGATACAGGGTCTTCCCCTGTGTCCGGAAGGACGCCCGCTGTCCCGACATCCAGAATGTGCTTGACACCATCATGTGTGGTCTGACAGGTGCCCATAAGAGGGGCAGGTGGGCCCTGGCCCGACTCGGGCTGCCAGGACAGGAAGCCAGAGGTGGTGAGGATCACAGAGGCCAGTCTCCACAGGCAAAAGCCCAGTGATGTGGAGCAGGGGGTCTCGGCCAGAGTGATTCTACCCCCCAGGGGACATGAGACCACCCAGAGGCTTTGGTTGCCACACTGGGAGGAGGGCGCTTCTGGAATCCAGTGAATGGAGGCCAGGGACACCATTCGACATCCTACAGTGTACAGGATGGCCCCCAAGACAGAGTGACCCAGCCCCAGATGTCAGCAGGGCCAGGGTGAGGACCTCCGGTACAGCAAGCCCATGCCTGGAGCCTCGCCCCGCTGGGAGAAGGGCTGTGCCCTTTCTGCCTGGAGAGTCAGGGCAGCCAGGGGTCCCCAGGGAATGTGAACTCCACTGTGGCCTCAGTGATGGGTGGCATGGGGCCAGGGCCAACACTTCTGTCCAGGTTGGGAACTTGCTCTGCTTCCCGACACCCTCCCTGAACCCAGCCTAACTTTCTCTGTCCTCTGCTCTCTTCACCCAGAACACCACGCCCTGTTTGTAGGCCTGCCAAGACCCTGCCCACCCAGAGGAGGACGGCACCCTCTTCAGGGTGGGAGCACCTCGGCTTCTCCTGGGAGTGACACCGAACTTTGCTCTCAGAGCACGTGTGCCAAGGGGCCCTTTCTCTGATCAAATTGGCCTGACGACAGACAGACTCAGGGACTGAAGCGCAGGCCTTGGCTTTTATTGACATTAGACCTGTAGGTTCCCCGGCCCCTCGGGAGCCCAGCTCTCCACTCCATCCGGCCTCCCCGGTACCCGTGGCTGATGTGAGTTGAAGCAGGCTGCAGGGGCATGCCCCGGCTTCTTTCTTTTTCTCTGTCCCTCTCGCGGGACCTCCTCCTCCTCCCTCCACCCTCAAGCTTTCCCAAGGCTGGCTCAGGCTCTGGTGCTGGGTAGCTGCCCAGGTGTCTCGGTGTCGGGGTGCTACTGATGGGGGCTGAGCCCTTCCCCCCCGCCCCAGACCTGTCTCCTCCTGCTCCTGGGGCCACCCTCTCCCCTCCTGTCCTGAGCTGGGAGAACCAGCTCTGGCACTTGGATCCCTACGGCCCCTCCAGGCCCCCAGAGCAGGTTCTCTTGCACAAGGGACATGTGGTCTCCTCTGGGGCCCCCCAGGATCTCTTAGGCCTGAGCCCTAAGCCTTCAGGGTGACCAGACTGCAAGGGGGCACCCTTGGCTGAGTCCATGCTGGAGCTGGAAGCTGAGGAAAGAGGGGGAGAGAGGAGTCATTCAGAGGGACCCAGGGGAGGCTGCCAGCCCACCCTGTGACCCCTGAACCTGGCATCCTTCCAAGCCAGAGGGGAGGGGGGCAGTTCTCCTTAAAACCCCACAGAGGAGGAGAAAGAGGGAGACATGGTTCAAGCAGGAAAGACCCTTTTCTAACTCACACCCCTCACTTTACAAATGGTGAGACTGAGGCACGGCCAGTGGGGGAAAGCAGCCCGAGGTCCCTCATCGAGTGGAGAGCTGGAACAGGTACCCAGGTGGCTCGGGAGTGGAGAGGGACCACCTGGGTCCGTCTGAGTGCCTAGCCCACCCCTGCCCTGGGTCTGCCCCTCCTGTCCCTAGCTCTGTGTCACCTGGACAGGCTCACCTGTATTTCCCCGGCTGTCCCTGGGCAGTTGAGCTTCCAAAAGGGTTGAGTGGTGGCTGTTACCTCGGCCCAGAGTCCCCTGTGCTAAGTTCAGGGGCCAGACCAGGCCCTCGGGCTGTGGCAGGCAGCCACCGGCCAGGAGCCGACCCAGCCAGTGACTCTCACACTGGCTGGCAGGCTGCAGGTGGCCCGGCAGGTAGAGAGCCAGGCCCCGGAGGTGGCGCAGGCGGAAATTCTTGGGCTTGCTTCCCTGGGCATTGGGGCACTGCTGCTGCTGGGCCCCCAGCCCCCCCTCGTAGATGTTGGGTGGTGTGTCGGGGTGACTGGTATATCCTTGGGCCCAGCTCACTGCATCTGTGGAGGGGAGAGTAGAAGGGTGGCCGTGAGGGGAGAACAGTCGCATGCTCGTGGGATGACCCCCACCCTGGCCTGCAGAGCCTCAACTACCTGTCTGTCATGTGGACTCTGCCCCCTGCCTCCCACCCCCCTCATCCAACTTAGCAGTCCTCCTCCCTCCCAGCCCACAGGGAGGGCTGAGAAACCTGGTCTCAGCACCAAGATCTTTTCAGGACTTCAGGCTCTTTCTGCCACCCACTTTTGTCCCCTGCCCTGAAAAGAGCAATCCAGTGTCCAGGGTTACGTGGCCTGGACCCATGGCCATTCCCTTCTCCTAAGCATGCATGTCCCCGGGACCACCCTGGTGGCTGTGGGCCCAGGTCAGGACAGGAGGGCATCTCTCCTCCTGCCTCTCCTCCCCGCAGCCCGGCACCTTCTCTTATGCGCAGCTCAGAGAACGCACAGACCAAGGCTTCCATGGAGGGCCAGCGTGATGGGGAGGAGCAGCCGGGCCTCCTCTGCAGCGGGGCTCTGCTCTCCGCCACCTAGGGGGCGGGTCTGCAGGGCTCCCTTGGCAACCAGCTCTGTGATGTCACAGGGAAGACTCCCTCGTCTCTTGGACCTCCAGGTTTGGCAGGAGATGATGTACAGAGCAGGGGCAGGGTGGTAGGTGGGCAAGGGGATGGGGCAGAACCTTGGGGAGGTCCCTGGTCCCTCCAGCTTGGGACAGGCATGCAAAACAGATTTGGCTCTTGCAGTCTGGGGAGTCACTCCCTGGGGTGACCTCTTGGGGTGTCTGTTTCCTCATCTGTGGGTAGAAGATGAACGTTTAGGGACACAGACATGGTGAGACCTGTGTCAGTGCTTTGAGCATGCCAAGAAGGTGATTCTGGGTGACCGGGCAGGTCCCTTAACTTTTCCATCCATTTTCGCATAAGTAGGCGATGGGGTATTCTGAGGATTGTATCAAGTGTGACGAAGGATTTGGAGAAACCAAAAGTCTCATATACTGCTGGGGATGGGGAGATGAAAACGATACCACCAATTTGGGAAACAATTTGTTTAAAAGTTAAACTTTTCAATTCTCTCTATTCACAAATGACATGGTCCTATATAGAGAAGAAATTAATTCACACTCAAAGGGGAAAAAAAACCTATTTAAGCTGGTAAAACTATCAGAGCTAATAAGTTAGTTGAGCAGTCTCAGGACGTGTGATCAACACACAATGAACTATATTTCTATACACTAGGAAAGAACAAAAAGACTAAAATCAATCATGGAAGTGCAAGACAGCACTGAAAACTAGAAAACATTGAAAAAAAGTAAAACTTAAATGGAAAAAGACAGTGTTTGTGGATTGAAGGCTTAATATTAAGACAGCAGTCCTCTCCAAGGTGATCTATAGATTCCTTTCAATTCCTGTAAAATCCCAACAGCCTCGACGGCAGAAACAAGAAAACTGATCCTAAAATTAATATGGAATTACAAAGGAATCCAAAAGCCGAAAACAGTCTTAAGAAGTTTGAAAGCTAAGATTTTCTATTTAAAAACTTCTTACATACAATTCAACACTACAGGAACCAAAACTGTGGAACTGACACAAGGCTAGAGATCTAGACCAGTGGAATAGAATAGAAGCCCAGAATAAATTCATACATCACTGGACAATTTATTTTCAACAAGATTATCAAGATTATTCCATGGAGGAAATAATAGTCACTTCAACAAAGAGTGCTGGGACAATTGGATATAAAAAGATACAAATGAAGAGGAATCTAGATGTCCATCAACAGATGAGTAGATAAAGAAGTTTTGGTACACACAATGGAATATTACTCAGCCATAAAAAGGAATGCATTTGAGTCAGTTCTAATGAAGTGGATGAACCTAGAATCTATTATACAGAGTGAAGTAAGTCAAAACGAGAAAGATAAATGTTGTATTCTAATGCATATATACAGAATCTAAAAAATGGTAAAGAATATATTTACAGGGCAGCAGTGGAGAAAGAGACATAGAGAATAGACTTGTGGACATGGGGAGATGGCAGGAGAGGGTGAGATGTATGTTGAGAGTAACATGGAAACTTACATTACCATATGTAAAATAGATAGCCAATGGGAGTTTGCTGTATGGCTCAGGAAACTCAAACAGGGGCTCTGTATCAACCTAGAGGGGTGGGATGGGGAGGGAGATGGGAGGGAGTTTCAAAAAGGAGGGGATATGTGTATACCTATGGCTGCAGAGGAACCAGATCAAATTGCTAACATCCATTGGATCATCGAAAAAGCAAGAGAGTTCCAGAAAAACATCCACTTCTGCTTTATTGACTTCACCAAAGCCTTTGACTGTGTGGATCACAACAAACTGACCTGCCTCCTGAGAAATCTATGCAGGTCAAGAAACAATAGTTAGAATTGGACATGGAACAACAGACTGCTTCCAAATTGGGAAAGGAGTACATCAAGGCTGTATATTGTCACCCTGCTTATTTAACTTATATGCAGAGTAAATCATGCAAAATGCCAGGCTGGATGAATCATAAGCTGGAAAGATTTCTATATCAACAAGCTCAGATATGCAGATTATACCACTCTAACAGCAGAAAGTGAAGAGGAACTAAAGAGCCTCTTGATGAAGGTGAAAGAACAGAGTGAAAAAGCTGGCTTGAAACTCAACATTAAAAAAACTAAGACCATAGCATCCAGTCCCATCACTTTATGGCAAATAGAAGGGGAAAAAATAGAAGGAGTGATAGACTCTTTGAGAGTACCATAGGCCATAAGGAGATCAAACCAGTTAATCCTAAAGGAAATCAACCCTGAATATTCACTGGAAGGATTGATGCTTAAGCAGAAGCTCCAATACTTTGGCCACCTGATACAAAGAGCTGACTCAATGGAAAAGACCCTGATGCTGGGAAAGATTGAAGGCAAAGGAGAAGGTGTGGCAGAGGAAGAGATGGTCAGATAGTGTCATTAATTGAATGGACATGAATCTGAACAAACTCCAGGAGATAATGGAGGACAGAGGAGCATAGCAGGCTATAGTCCATGAAATCAAAAAGAGTCAGACACAATTTAGCAACTGAACAACAACAACAACAAGAGGCATCAGTGGTCTGCTAAGCATCAGCAGAGGCTATGAAATCACATCACGAGATGTGATCACTCCACAGTGCAGAGGTCCCAAATCCAAACCCGCAGTTACCTGAAAACTTCACTTTGCCCAGGATGTGGTAGATGTTTCCAGAGAATGGACTCGGCTTGATGGAGGACTGAATTGCTGGTGGAGGAATAGGACAGGGTTGTTACTTATCTGGGGGCAGAGGCCAAGGCCAGGGCAGCANTGGAGTGGGTTGCCATTTCCTTCTCCAGGGGATCTTCCCAACCCAGGGATCGAACCCAGGTCTCCTGCATTGCAGGCAAACGCTTTAACCTCTGAGCCGGACAAACAGCTACTGTCATGTAATTAGCCACTACAAGATATAGAACAGTTTCATTACTCCCTCCCCACACACATTACATTATTATGTATCCAGCTCCTCCTGGTTACCACTAATTTGTTTTCTATCTCTATATTTTCATCTTATTCAGAATGTCATGTAAATGGAATCAAATAGTATAAAGCATTTTGAGTCTCTTCTTCCACTTAGCCTAAGGCATTGGAGAGCCACCGTTGTTCTTGTGTATTTCAGCAGTTTGCTTTTATAAATTGCTGAATGGTAATCCATTGTACCACATGTGTTTATTCATTTCTAAGTTGAGGGGCACCCAAGTGGTTTCCAGTTTGGGACAATTAAAAATAAAGCTACTCTTAATATTTGTGTATAGGTTTCTGTGTGAACATAAGTAATTTTCGTTTCTCTTTGGTGAATACCTGGGAGAGGGACTGCTGAACTGTATGTTAAGGGTATGTTTAACTTTCACCAGCTGTCTTCCAAAGTGGATGTACACTTTCATATTCTCACCAATAAGGTGTGAAAGTCCAAGGTGCTCTCCATCCTTTCAAGCCCTTAGCACTGTCAGGGTTTTTGTGGTGGTTTGTTGTTTTAGCTATTCTAATATTTAGAAAAGGCAGAGGAACCAGAGATCAAATTGCCAACATCTGCTGGATCATCGAAAAAGCAAGAGTTACAGAAAAACATCTATTTCTGCTTTACTGACTATGCCAAAGGCTTTGACTGTGTGGATCACAATGAACTGTGAAAAATTCTGAAAGAGATGGGAATACCTGATCTGCCTCTTGAGAAACCTATATGCAGGTCAGGAAGCAACAGTTAGAACTGGACATGGAACAACAGCCTGGTTCCAAATAAGAAAAGGAGTATGTCAAGGCTGTATATTGTCACCCTGCTTATTTAACTTATATGCAGAGTACATCATGTGAAACGCTGGGCTGGAGGAAGCACAAGCTGGAATCAAGATTGCCAGGAGAAATATCAGTAACCTCAGATATGCAGATTTGGCCACCTGATGCAAAGAGCTGATTCATTTGAAAAGACCCCGATGCTGGGAAAGATTGGGGGCAGGAGGAGAAGCGGACGACAGAGGATGAGTTGGTTGTATGGTATCACCGACTCAATGGACATGGGTTTGGGTGGACTCCGGGAGTTGGTGATGGACTGGGAGGCCTGGCATGCTGCGGATCGTGGGGTTGCAAAGAGTCGGACACAACTGAGCTACCAAACAGAACTAAACTGAATAACTGCCTAGTGATATCTTGTGGTTTAATATGCATTTCTCTAATGACTAATAATCTTAAGCATCCTTTCCTTTGCTTATTGTAAGAAAATAAGACATTATTTTAAGGCAAGAAAATTTAAACAAGTTTTTTTTCTCTGTTTGTGCTTCCTCTTCTCCACTCGTGTGCATTATGTGTCTGCATTATGCATTAACCATAAGACTTCTGCAGCAGCAGAAAAACTGCTCAACTATAAAGATTCATTTTTATCCTTCTAATACCAGCCATGTAACTCCTTAGAAGATAATGTTCCTTTCTCAATCCTGTCAGGGGTCACGATGCAGGTATGTTTGGTGAACTTTATGTGCAAGGCCAATACAAACAGTTCCTTTAAAGACAGCGATTTATGCAGACAGACTGGGTCAGACAACCTAGGGTGATACTGGGCCACACCTAATGGAAGTTCTTAGTTTAAATACTTACTTGTGCATGCTAAGTCGCTTCAGTCATGTCCAACTCTTTGCAATCGTATGGACTGTAGCCTGCCAAGCTCCTCTGTCCATAGGGTTCTCCAGGCAAGAATACTTGACTGAGTTGCTATTTCTTCCTCTGGGGATCTTCCTGACCCCAAGGATCAAACTCAAGTCTTAATGTCTCCTGCATTGGCAGGTGGATTCTTTACCACTGAGCCACCAGGGAATTCTCTCCTCAATCCCCAGCCACTGGAACACCAAGGAATTCCCAAGGTTGATGACGTTAATAGTGTACCTGTAGATTTGGGAAGAAGCAATAAGAGAAAACCATTTCCTGAACCATAACAGACTAGAGAGATAGGCAAGATAGTCCAGATGCTTTTGGCTACTGTTGAGTTCAGTTCAGTCACTCTGTCGTGTCCAACTCTTTGCAACCCCATGAACCACAGCAGGCCAGGCCTCCCTGTCCATCACCAACTCCCGGAGTTCACTCAAACTCATGCCCATCGAGTCGGTGATGCCATCCAGCCATCTCATCCTCTGTCGTCCGTTTCTCTCCTGCCCCCAATCCCTCCCAGCATCAGGGTCTTCTCCAATGAGTCAACTCTTTGCGTGAGGTGGCCAAAGTATTGGAGTTTCAGCTTCAGCATCAGTCCTTCCAATGAACACCCAGGACTGATCTCCTTTAGGATGGACTCATTGGATCTCCTTGCAGTCCAAGGGACTCTCAAGAGTGTTCTCCAACACCACAGTTCAAAAGCATCAATTCTTCGGTGCTCAGCTTTCTTCACAGTCCAACTCTCATATCCATACATGACCACTGGAAAAACCATAGCCTTGACTAGACGGATCTTTGTTGGCAAGGTAATGTCTCTCCTTTTTAATATGCTATCTAGGTTGGTCATAACTTTCCTTCCAAGGAGTAAGGGTCTTTTAATTTCATGGTTGCATTCACCATCTGCAGTGATTTTGGAGCCCCCCCAAAATAAAGTCTGACACTGTTTCCGCTGTTTCCCCATTTATTTCCAAGCTGGAATCAAGATTGCCAGGAGAAATATCAATAAATTCAGATATGCAGATGACCGCACCCTTATGGCAGAAAGTGAAAAGGAACTAAAAAGCCTCTTGATGAAAGTGAAGAGGACAGTGAAAAAGTTGGCTTAAAGCTCAACATTCAGAAAACTAAGATCATCGCATCTGGCTACTGTTAACAGTACAATAACAGCACATTGAGTCGCCTGTTAGTGAAATCCTTGCTTGACCTGGGTGTGAACATTCCTATTGCTGTGTGAGAAACTGGTCATGAAATGTCTCCAAGCCTTGGTCGAAATTAAGACTGAAAGAGAGGAGATTGTAAAACCAAGTATGTTGCCCACCATCCAGTTCTACAACAATTGAGTCATTTTGCCACTACAGTCACTGACCTACATACAACACATGGTGAAGGAACTTCAGGGCCAAATCAGGATGAGGCATTTTGTGCTCTCGGAAGACTGGCAGTTAGTTAGTTAGTTAGGTATTTTCAGGAGGAAATTGTATGAATTCGGTTTCTTATATCTTGCCTACTTAGAAAAGAACTAAAACCATTAACTGTAACATCTGTTCCTTGTTAATAGCAGTAAACCTCTACAATGTTGTATCCTTGATTACACCTACCCCTTACTTAAAATCACATACCTACTAGCTTACCCCTTTCCTCTTTGGAACATCTTTAGAGCTTTCTGAAAGACTCCTTGCCTGATTATAATCCTCAGGTTGGCTCAAACAAATTTATGCATTTCTTAGCTGGACTAATTGTTGACATTTGCCATATCTTTTGTGAACTGTTTTTTGATCTGCTTTCTGATAGTTTTCTTCAGTGAGTTTTGAAAGTTTGTTATGTATTTCAGAAGTCTTTTTCAAATCATCTGTGCTTTGTAAATATATTCTTTTAGACTGTGGGCTTACCTTTTCATTTTCTTAAAAAGTGCCTTGAAGAGCAGTTCTAAATTTTGATGAAGTCCGATTCATCAAAAAACATTTTTTAAAGGATGATACTTCTAGTGTATTTTATCCAAGGACTCTTGTTTAACCCAGTCACAAAGCTTTCCAAGTTTTCTTCTAGAAAAGTCATAGTTTTTAGGTTTTACCCTTTACATGTAAGGATGCAGGTTCATTTATTTGCATTTCTAGTTGTTCCAAGATCCTTTGCTAAAAAGATTATTCTTTCTCTACTAAAGGGCTTTATTTATCCTAATGACCACGTATGTGCAGGTCTATTTTGAGAATCTTTAAGGTCAGCGCATTCATGTGTCTGTTACTTCACTAAAACCAATACAGGGGTGGAGGGCATCTTAGTATTGGTAGTCCCTCTTCTTCGCCCGCACTCTGGGCTCAACTCACTTCACCTCCCCAGCCCTTCCGGTTGCCTTTCCCCAGCCGTGGCAGGCAGGTAGAGAGTCCTCCCAACCGAGAGCACAGCTGATCCCGCCACGGGCTGGGCGCGGTGCACCCCCGCCCCGCCCCCTCCGTCTACCGCATGCAAGAACCAGCTCCAAACTTCGGAGTTCACAGTTGCCAGGACAACCCCCCGGCGCGCCGGTTTCCGGCCTGTCGTAAAGTCCGAGCCCGGTGCGCACGCGCGGTTTGCGCCTCGGGCGGCTCTCGCCGCTTCTTGGTCGCTCTGACCTTCGCCTCGTAGTCCGTGGCCTCAGCTGCTTCACGCTGCAGGCGCTTCGGACGCGGGCGCGGCCAGCCATTTTACACATGCCAGAGAGGAGTGCCGGGCGTAGGACTCCAAAGGGAGACCTGGCTTCCTGACATCGTGTACATCCTTTCTGGAGGAGTTTAGGCGGAAATGAGAAGTACTATGTAGACCGCCTTGCACAGGCACTTAGGTGCTTAGAACGTGTCGGCCAGTACAAATGTCTGCATGTGTGAAGGGAGCCTGCACGCCACACCAGTTCCCTCAGCGTCGCGTTTTACGCCGCCTGCCGGCCGCCCTCGCTCCGGTACATACAGAGCATGCGCACGCGGCCCGGTCGGCTTTGCTTCCAGTCTTTTTGGTCCCGGCAGCGCGCCGTATGGGGCTCAGTGCGTTGCCATAGAAACCCCAGAGCGGTGACGGGCTAGCGGTGGAGACTTCGGGATCCTGGGCACTTGAGCGCCATGTCTTTCCGTGATCTCCGCAGTAAGGCATCCCTGCCCTCTGTGACCTGCGATCCTCCCGAGACTCGGGGCTCCGGCCCGCCGGCTCCCTGTCCGAGCCCCGCCGAGGCTCTCGCGCCGAAGTCCCCCTCCGGGGTCTCTGCAACTCAGGGGCTCCCCTGACCCGAGCCGACCCCCGCCAGGCTGAGCGCCCCAGTGTGTCTCATAGCGCTTTCTGCTATGATGTGTATGCGGCTAGTGCGGCTGAGGAACCGAAGTTTTAATTTTATCTAATTTTAATTGACTTGGGTCTGTTCGCTGCTGTATCGCAAAACACCATTTTCCAAAGCGACCGTTTTTGAGCTGGGTTAGCTTAGAGAAGCGAACAAGAGAATCGAAGAGGGGGCTGGTGAATAATGATTGAGGCTAATATTTTTCGAGTTCGAGTTTTTGTGATCTGTTAGGTAGTTAATTACTGTTCTATGTGTGTTCATCATTTCATTTACTCCTCTGAACAGCAGTCCTTTTATGTTTAGGTGAGGAAATGGACACAGAGAGGTCAGGTCACTCGGTCGGTCGGGACATAGGTGGTAAGAGCTGGCGCTGGAGTGTGAAACCGTGTCGTCTAACCTCCAAAGCCCTCAGCCTTTCTGAAAGGGGCTGGTGAGGAGAAGGGAACCCAAAAGTGCCTTTGCAAGGAGCGTGGGGAAGTGGAAAAATGGGGATTAAAGAACTAGTTATCACTGCTCTGGGTAACATCTGTTAGAAAGTAAACATTTTACATTTAATATCTTATTTTAGTCCTCACTGTTACAGTGAGATGAGTCATTCCTGGATGGAATACTTTGACGCAGGGAGGTGAAATAGCTGCTTTAGATCATAGAGCTAGAACTGGGTGGAAATCAGTATCAAAACGTGGAACTGTGTGAATCAGTCTCTTGCCTTTTATGTGCTGTCATTTTCTGAATCTGAAGCGGTTCAGGGAACTGGCTCCACCTGCACACGTGTAGCAGGTGTTGCCAATTTGGTGTGATTTGAAGGGCCTCTTTAAGGCCAATTTTCTAATAGTTGCCAGTGCCTGAAATTTCCCCTTTAAAGATTACTGCTTTCGGTTGTGAAGGGCTCTTTCTATAATGTAAATATATAGGAAGAGGCACCACCGTTTATTGATGCCTACTAGCACTGTTGTGTGAATCTCTGCCCTCTGGGACTTGGACATTCTTGGAGACATTATGTTGTAGAGACATCTTTCTCCTCTCTCACAGTTGAGGGAGGCCAGCCTTCTGCTAAGGGACACTGAATGGAGTTGTTTTGGGAAAAGTGTACAAAAGGATTTCTGAACGTTTTTGACCTTAAATGAATGCCGTACTTTAGGCAGTTCATGTAAGAATCTTACTTGTCTCCTTTTGATGACGATACTGCAGAATTAACAGAATTTGGCTACTACTTAGTGAGAGGAAGTGTTTAGGCCTCACCATCTGGTGGGAAGGCTGCTGCTTTTATTTTCCATTGCTCTATTTAAATATCCCCCTGAACAATGGCAGAGGCCCTCTGCTGCTCTTTCCACTGCTTATATCTTCTCTTCTGTTGTCTGGTGAAATTCAGCCTAATCTCCAATGACCAGGTAGCTTATTTGTGAATGTCATTGGGACATTTTCAATATCCATCTTCAAGAAAAGTGAAGACAGACATTACTTAGTCAGAAGCGCTCTTGGCACATCATGGGAACTAAAAGGATGTTATTTGCAAGTCTTGCTTAAAACTTAGTGACTGCAGTATTAAGAACAAGTGTTAGTATTACTGTTTCTTAGTCTGTTTCATAGTACAGCTAAGTATTGCTCTATAGTTCAAGCATTCTCTTGAACATTCCTCTAAGTAACACAGAGACATCAGTTTTACCCTACCACCATCACCTCTACAAAAAAAAAGTTAACATTTAAAAGTGTTTTTCTTTATGACATTTGGTAAGACCAGATATTTTTCATTTTTAGTGGTGAAGAGAAAGATATCCAGGAGATAGTTGAGATACCCAAGAGAGGAATTAAATTCACAGCCAATCCCTAAACCCTATTTCAACGTAGTTTCCAGTTCTCCCATTGAACTCAAATAAGTGTTTTTTAGGAAACAGCTTAACTATTTTATCTCCTTTTTGTTTTTCTCTCAGAGTTGATAAATAGTCTATAAACGTGTCAGTAGCCTGGGAGTAAGAAGACAAAAATGAAGGAAGTATCTGTGTTGATAAGTAGGTGATGTTTGAGGAGGAGCTGACCATCCTGTGTGTTTTTACCTTGGACAGATTTTACAGAGATGATGAGAGCCTTGGGATACCCTCGACATATTTCCATGGAAAACTTCCGCACACCAAATTTTGGGCTTGTATCTGAAGTGCTTCTCTGGCTTGTGAAAAGGTTAGAACCGGGAACTTTACTGTGGTCTAAGAATAGATTCGAGATGTTACTCATTAGCCACCTAGAAACAGGATACTTCTGAGAAGCAAAAGGAAAAGTTCAGTAAAATTTGACAGACTGGGCTGTAACCTGTTAAAAGTCAGATGTGTGTTAAGGAATGCTGTGGGGAAAGGGAGTGTGCCAGGAGGTGGTGAAAGACTGTTTCTCAGCAGTAAGCTGACAGGCGTGCTGGCCCACCCTCCTCATCATCCCCTCGTCTTCATCAGGGATTGACAGGGCCTCCTTACACAGTATCTGGCTTAGGATTGGCAAACTTTTTACTAAGGAGATGATCAAGATTTTAGGCATTGCCTGCTGCATAAGATCTCTGTCAGGCTTCCTTGTGTTTTATTGTTTATTGCCCTTTAAAAATGTAAAAACTCTCCTTAGCTTGTGAGCTGTACAGGAGAAGGCCAAGGACTGCAGGCTGTTGACCGCAGCATGTCATCAGTAACTCGAAGAAAGGAACTCTGGCCCCTCTGCTGAGTCAAGGGCTGTCAGCCAGAGTAATCCTTCTGGATATTTTAATTAGACTTTGCTGTCTGATATAGATTTAATTTTGTAAGCTGAGCCCCAGATTTGGTTTTTGACATTTGAAAAGGTGCTGATGCTGGGAAAGATTGAAGGCGGGAGGAGAAGGGGATGACAGAGGATGAGATGGTTGGATGGCTTCACTGACTCAATGCACATGAGTTTGAGTAAGTTCCGAGAGTNGGAGAAGGGGATGACAGAGGATGAGATGGTTGGATGGCTTCACTGACTCAATGCACATGAGTTTGAGTAAGTTCCGAGAGTTGGTGATGGACAGGGAGGCTTGAGTGCTGCAGTCCATGGGGTTGCAGAGTCGGACGTGACTGAGCGACTGAAGTGAAGCCTATTTTTTGGTGAGGATTTGTTCTCTTGGATGTTTGGTATTTTGTGTTGCTTTTGAGGTCTTTCATATTCTTACTACCGTAGCTGGGGACTCAGCTTCCTGTTACAGATCCACTGTCCTCCCAGTGGTTTACTTTCTGTTTTGTGACCTTTCAGCTTAATTAACTTGTGTCTTTCTCTCTGTCTCTGTCTTTGCAATAGGTACGAACCTCAGAATGACATCCCTTCTGATGTTGAGACTGAACAAGACCGAGTTTTCTTCATTAAGGCAATTGCCCAGTTCATGGTTAGTTCAGTTTTTTGATGGAGTTGTAAAATTAAATACACCAGAAGGAGATGGAGCCTAATTAGAGCTGCGTTCAGCTTTCTTAACACTCTGCATTACCAGATTTCTGTGGAGCCATTTTTTGAATTTTAAGCAATATTTTCTACACAAAGGTTATCACATAATTGGATAGTTCTTTACTCTGTATACCATTATTTTTACTCTCCACAGAAAGGCTGCTTCTTACCTTCTCATCTGGTGATGGCAAGCACTATCTGTGGAGTCATTTTACCAACAAAGTTTTCTGAGTTTTTTGTTTTTAACTCATGATTTGTTAAGAATTTTAGAATCCCATGAGACCAGTGGTGGCAGTATACAGGATAGTTGTCTCAGAGGGGCAGTGAGAGAAAAGGATTAGCCATGTCACCTTTGACCAGAAAGGTGATCAGCACTGCGGAAGCCCCAGCGGCCATTCGTCCCCACAGTCAGGTTGTGTTAGTCGACAGGACGCGTTTCAGGACTGCTCGATCTGTGTGGACCCTGCGGGTGGACAGCATCTGCCAGCGAGCGGTGGCAGAGGCGGCTGAACATGCTTTACAGACATGGTAAATCCTGAGAGCAGCAGGCTGTGAGTTCACAGACATGGTAAAGACAGCTGTTTGGCCGACTGACATAAATGACTTCCATACTGTCAGTGACACCTATAAATAATATTTCCAGAGTAGCTTTCCTGTAAGAGAAGCTTAGCAGGTTGTTGCTTTGCCTAAAGGAAGCTGTTTTGAGATTGAAGCAGTAGTTGTCCAGGGGCCTCTCGTTCACAACATCACTCCAAGTGGGCCCACTGTTACTTAGTCTAGAATTTTAATAATGTTTTTAAATTAACGTCTTAAGTTTTTACAATCTTTGTTGGAAAGCATAAGGTTGACTGAAATATATGAAGTTATGGGAATACCATATAATAAGAGGAATTGAACTTGAAGACTAATGACAAATCTAGTTATTGATGTTATAAATTACACTTATGTAACATTTGTATTACTGGGTATGGGAAAAGAGACGCATGTTACATAGTTACTCAGATAGATAAAAGTAAAGGGAATAACATGTAGGAAAGATGAGTTACTGTTTCTGAGAAATAATAAAGAACACACCTATTTCAATTAAGCTCTATTAATTTAGTGATGTGAAGTATTTATTGCTCATGTCAGATACTATATGCTTCTGCTTTTACTTAATAAAATTATGTAAGTTTGAATGGCAGATCTAAAGGAGAAGAAACTGGACCAAAATTTTATACAGATATTTTTCTTTTTGAGAGGTTAAGAAAGTAAAGTGATAGTTTATTTAAGCAAGGATACACTCTCAGAGAGAGAGAGGACAGACAGGTGAAGAACTGCTGCCAGATAATATTTTTCTAATTAAAATAGCATACAGACTTTAAAATGAGTTTTATTATTTTGAATAGTCAATGTATATTATGGCTCAAAAAAATTTTTTTAAATCATGAAACGATAATAGAATAAAATGAGTTTCTATTCTGTCTGCCATCAGCCCAGTTCAATTCCCAGTAACCACTAATTTTAATATCTCTCAGTTTCTGTAGGCATATTTAAGCAAATAGGCTAGATATACTTTTTCCTTCCTTTTGATCTGGTGGTGGCATACAGTATATCTCTGTCTTTATGGAACAGTACATTTTGGAGAACTTTTCAAATACAGATAGAATTTCTTCATTTTCTCTTACATCTGAGTAGTGTTGCTTGCATGTTTATACCATAAGTTGTATAATTTATACAGATTGGCATTTAGGTTGTTGGTAACTTTTGTTCTTAGAAACAGTGCTGTAACAGATAACCTATACACGTTGTTTTGTTTGTGACAACGTGTATCCCTATCATAAGTTGCTAGGATTGGGATTTCTGGGTCAAAAGATATGCACATTTATCATCTTGTTGTCATTTACGAAATTGCTTTCCATCAGGATTGTACCAGTCTACGTAACCACTCACAATATAAGAGTTACTTGAAAGTTTGACTCTTAATATGCTTTAGTTATACACCAATTCTTGGCAGAGACAGTTTCAAATGACCTGCATGGGATTTGGTTTAATTTTACATGGAAGGGATCTTAAACTTTTTTTTGTCTGAAAATAGGCCACCAAGGCACATATAAAACTCAATACCAAGAAGCTTTATCAGGCAGACGGGTATGCAGTGAAAGAACTACTGAAGATCACCTCTGTCCTTTACAACGCTATGAAGACCAAAGGCATGGAGGGCTCTAAACTAGGAGAGGAAGACGTCAGCAAGTTCAAGTTTGATCTTGGCTCAAAGGTGAGGACAGGACAGGTCTTGTAGAGAGAGATGGAGCATTCATTTCTCAGATTCTGAGATGAACTATAGCAACACAGCCCGCTTCTTTCCTTACTGCTTGACTGGGGGCCATTTGTCAGTTTTGTGCTCATTCGTCTGCATTGTTTTTTAATTTTTTAAAAATGGAATTTGTTTGGCCCTGTTGGGTCTCGGGTGTGGCAAGTGGGGCCTTTTGCAGTGGTGCGCGGACTCTCTGGCTGTGGCACGTGGGCTCCAGAGCCCGTGGGCTTGGTAGTTGGAGTGTGCGGGGTCTGTTGTTCCACAGCGTGTGGGATCAAACCCACGTTGCTTGCGTTGTAAGGCAGATTCTTAACCACTGAAGCACCAGGAAGACTCAGCTTTGTGCTTATCAGCATTTGGATCAAAACAGAAGGGACAGTAAATTCAGCTATTTATTGAAAGCCTGCTGTCTGCCAGGCACTGTGGCACAGTTCACAGGCGTGAACAAGCACAGGCTTCTCTATTCCTGCGGCTCCGTTGAGGGAGCCAGACTGAACTGCACAGCAGAAGGAGCGGCTCATCAGATGGGCTGATGGTGACGGATGGTGAAGAGGGAGGTGGTGGGGGAGGGTCTGAAACTAGGGGATAGCACAGCCTCAGGGACTGTGTGATGTCTCAGCTAAGATCTGGTGGAGAGAAGGAGCAAGCTCTTCAGTGGAGGCTGTGCTGTGTGTGTGAGGAAATGCGAGGGGGGCCGTGTGATGAGAGCTGGGAGGGGAGGCGGCCACAGGCCCTAGGGTCCCTGGAAGGCCACTGCCAAGACTTTGAGGTGGAAAGTGGTCGAGTTTTGAGCAGAGAAGTCCATCATTTGAAGCCTCATATTAAAAGGATCACTGGTTGCTGGATTGAGTGAGACTGCTGCTGCTGCTGCTAAGTCGCTTCAGTCGTGTCCAACTCTGTGAGACCCCATAGACAGCAGCCCACCAGGCTCCCCCGTCCCTGGGATTCTCCAGGCAAGAACACTGGAGCGGGTTGCCATTTCCTTCTCCAGTGCATGAAAGTGAAAAGTGGAAGTGAAGTCGCTGAGTCATGTCCCACTCTTCGCGACCCCATGGACTGCAGTCTACCAGGCTCCTCCGTCCATGGGATTTTCCAGGCAAGAGTACTGAAGTGGGGTGCCATTGCCTTCTCCTGAGTCAGACTGAGTGGGGAGGCAAAGGTGGGAGCAGAGAGACCTATGAAAAAGCCCAAGGTGATGGTGCCTGTGACTCTGAGCGGCCAGTGAGCGCTCAGCTGAGCTTGGGGGGAGTGGGAGCTGTGAGGTGTTGGAGGACTTGTTTAAAGCAACAAGCCAAACGTGAAAGCTGTGTCTTTAATCGCTAGCTGCTGTGGTGTAAGCAAGGGGCTAGAGCCAGAGGGAGTGTCGGCTCCCTGTTTCATAGAACTGCTCTGGCAGTGTTAATGACCGCCCCGCCGCCCCCGCCACACCAAGGTGTGGGAGGCTCAGAATGGGAATGTGGTGGGCACTGAATCGGAGGGAGAGTGTCCTCAGGTGTTCGCCCCACCTTCCCAAATCCGGAGGCCTTGGCAGAGGCACTGAAGAGGACCCGGGCCCAAGGCCTTGGATAAAGAGACCTAGGGATGCAGAGCTTCTTATTAATAAGAACATGATTGGCCAGAGGGCCTGGGTCCTTGACTGAAACTGTTCAGAGGCTGCGGAGCCCTGGTGTTGGGGGCAGCTTGCCCCAGGAGGCAAAAGGTTGAGCGAAAGTGGACACCATAAGGAAGGTCTGAGGCGGCTCTGTCGAGTCGCCCTCCCTGTGCCGGTGGACGTGGCCTGTGCCACGTGGCATGGTAGCCACTAGCCACATGTCACCAGCACAACCCAGGAGGTGAGTTTAAGTTTTTCTTAATTTTAAATGGTTTAACGTTGAGACTGGCACGTGACTGGTGGGCACGTGTTAGACGTCACAGCTCTAGAGTGTGGGTATGAATTCCCGCCAGGACAGGGTTGCTATCACTGAGATAGAGGAGAGTTCAGAAGGAGCAGGTCTGGCAGGAAAGATGAGGAGTTTGGTTTGGGACGTTGCCTTTGCAGCATCTCTGAGGTGTCCGAATGGAGACATGGAGCCTCGGCATCCACACCAGGAGCTTTCCGGGATTGTGAGGGGGAGAGATTGGGGGGCTGAACTCTGCTGATTCCAGTGCTGAGAAGTGGGGGGTGAGAAGACTCCCACAGGGGAAGCCGGAAGCTTGCTGCTTCCCAGCAGAGTCCTGAGGACTCAGGAAATGGACAAGTCGCCCACTGTGAGTGAAGAAGGAGCGTTGTTGCAGGTGGGAGTTCGTTGGCTGGGGGAGAGGGAGGGTGAGCAGAACTGGGAAATACTTGGCTCTTTGGAAATGTAGCACATTCACGGAGGAGGCTGTGGCAAGCAGACCCCAAGAGAGAAGCTTACCCCGGGCTGAGTGCTCAGTGGTCCTCACCGTCCTCATGGCAGAGCCTTGTGGGAGCCGGTCTGCTGTGAGCCCCTTGTGCCGGTGAGCCCCTCTGAACCTCTTGGCAGCCCGTGGAGTGCACCCTGAACGCGGGGCGGGGGGCAGACACGGCCTTGGGGGCTGCATGGGGCTGTGTCCTCAGGCTGCCCCTCCTCTCTCACCCCGCCGCTGCCAGAGCCCCTCACTGTAGGAGGCGTGCCAGCCTCACGCCCCCACACACCTCCTGCTTGCAGAATACGTTTGACTTGACGTCGGGGTTTTCAGAGAGACCCAGGGTCCTGTAATTGGTCTAATTTGTACTTAGATCAGTGTTTCCTAAACTGGTGTCTGGGGAGCTCTCTTCTACGGGGTGTGAATATGTCTCCTGGGGAAAACACATTCTATAGTTAGGTAAGTATTCTGACTGGAGGAGGGAACTGATAGGAACAGATTGGTTCTTTCTGCATGCTGAAAACCTGTTAGTGAAATTTCTGTTTTTGATATCTTCTTTCTAGATTGCAGATTTAAAAGCAGCGAGGCAGCTTGCTTCTGAAATCACTTCCAAAGGAGCATCTCTATATGACTTGCTGGGCAAGGAGGTGGAGCTGAGGGTGAGTGGTGTTCAGATACCTCCGTTACCTCCCTAATTACCTTCTCAGCTGAGCAGATTTCCAGGGTTTCTTTTCCAATTAAGTTTTTTCCTGTTCTCTCGGTTTTATTAAACAGTACCTGATAAAATGAGATACTGTGTGGGAAAGTTCGATCCATAAGCTGCAATTCATCCTTCTGGTGGGCTCGGGTCTGTTTCTGATGCCTTTGGCATCTGGTTCAGGAATGGCACACGTGTGCTGTGTTGCCTCAGCTCTCCCTCTTGTTCCTATGGCAGACTTTATTGATCACGATGCTTTCCCTGGTGCCCTCAGCCTCGGCATGCTTCCCAACAAAATGCTCCTCCCAGCCTGTGGCTCCCGAATCTTGTTGCCCAGTGGAATCACCTGGGGATCTTTACAAACTGCTGATACCTGGCTTCCATGCTGATGTCACTGGTATGCAATGTGACTTGGGCATCAGGAGTTTTAAGTCTCCTGGGTGATTCATTCTAACATTCATCAGTTTGGGAACCAGTCACTAATCTAGGCAGTCAGTTGAAGCTGATGTTACAGTTGAAATTTATTTGCAGTCCTTATTTTAGCCCCTGTCAGTCAAGGTGGATGCTCTGTCCTCTGTGTTTGAGGAGCTGTTGAAGAGTGGATTCCTAAAATGCCCTTGAAGCTCCTGTAGAGCTTTTAAATCACCCGACATCCAGGTCGTCCCCTGGACCAGTGGATTGAAATGTCTGCAGGTGAGAGCCAGATTTTTAAAGCTCTGCAGGTGACCCAGTGTGCAGCAGAGTTTAGGACCTAGCTACTGGTTGAAGAAGAAATGGGAGTGTTGGTTGGTTCTTACCTGTGGGGATCATGGCATTTGAAGCCTGTCGGCTCACATCTGATATTTCTGATTAAATGCGTTCAGTTGACTGCATTCCCGTCAGGTGTGTCATCTGTGGCTGCTCTCTCTTGCCTCGCCCATGTCCTGGCATTGCTGTCGCAGTGTGATGGTATTGTCCTGTTCTGCCCTAGAAGCAGACTGGATGCGGGGACTTGATGCCAGCTCACCCTCCCTGCTCTGGATACTTTGCCACCTGGTGCCGTGTGTTTGGCAGAACACACCTGCCAGTGATGTCTGACAGCTGGTTTAGATAAGCAGTGAGGCAGTTCCAGGCTTCTCATGTTTTCTGTTGATCATGGGGTGAATGTGTGTCTGATCATGTTCCTCGCAGACCCAGAGATGAGCGCTGGTCACTCGCTGTTCGCCAGCAGTGTTTCCTGGCTTCATTGTGAGGCTTCACTAGGATTCGAGGGGCTCTTTCCACGCCAACCTGTAGTGAATTGACGAAGCAGTCAGAGGCTGAGCTGTTGCTTGGGGAACCGTGAGGCCCTGGATGTAGGACTTGTCAAATTCTGTGTAGTTGTGATCTGCAGAAGCTCCCATCCAGTACACTCAACAGACGGTCACCGAGGGCCGACTGCAGCCTCAGACCAGGAAGGCTGTGTGTTCTGTGTCCTTGAGGAGGTCGCCTCCCTGGGCTCAGTAGTGCTCCCCAGCGGGAAGACAAGGTGCACCGTGGATTAAAAGAAGTACAAGACAGGGTTGAGGAGGTGCTCCCGGAACCCCATAACCGCATGCACGTTAAAGCTCCAGCTTTCAGAACCGTCCAGTACTGCCATGATAGGCACAGATGCCTCCCTTGACGGTTAATGGTCAGTGCTAGGGCGGGGCTGAGTAGACTCTTCTCACTGGTACAGTTGTCAGTGACAGGCAACTTAGAGGGCCGCGAGCATAAGGAAGATAGTACAGGCTGGCAGAGGACTCAGACAGGAAGTTCAGTTGCACTTGGTTCGGGGTCTCTGAATGGAATGCAGGTGAAGAAGCAGATTTGGAGAGACAAGGTTCTGAGTGGCGAGCTCCGCTTCCCGTGCTGTTGGGGTCCTGGGGCCCGTAGATGAAGGGCGGGGCCTGGAGCTCTGGAGGGAGGCCAGATGGGCAGACACAGGCATCCTTGGGGAGGTGGTGGCGGGAGTGTTTCTGCATTGGAGACCCACACCGTGATGAAACTGTGAGGACTAGTCCATAAGCCATGTCTAGAGCTGGGAGTTGGTTTTGAGAATTCCTCTTCTAAAAAAAAATTTTGCTTCATTGTTTCCTATAGGAACTGAGGACAGAAGCAGTTGCCAGACCTCTGGAAATAAATGAGACTGAAAAAGTGATGAGAATTGCAATAAAAGATATTCTGGTAAGATTACTTTTTTTTATTTAATGTTTTTGTGCCTAGGACTGGGAAATAGTGAGTTCTTGGTTTTACAGGACAGAGCAAGCTGGGCCTTGTAACAAAGATAGAACGTGTTAGTAGGGAAGTGAAAAATTTAGAGCATGTTCTGGAATAGCTAGGTGACTTACTGTTATCTTCCCCTAGTATCGTTTTCATGTGACTAAAATTTTGTCAGTTTTATTAATTTAATGATTCTCTTAAATTTTTCAGTAAATATGTTTTATGGACTCTTCACAACTTATTTAACCAGTTCCTCACTGTTGGGCATCTAGATTATTTCTAGGTTATCTTAATTCTAAACACTGAATAAATAGAATGATCATCATCCTTTACTGATCATCCATGGTTAGTTATTATAAGCTCATTGCATCTGAATCATTCATTTGGAAGGCAGATAGTGAGAGAAACTCAGACTACTTGGGCTTGAACCGTGCCCCCCGTGTGACGTCAGGCAAGTTACTTAACCTTTCTGTGCCTTTCTTTCCTCATCCATAAAACAAGATGAATGGCAGTCCCTGCCACGTGGGGTCCTCATGAGCATTCATTATGACAGTCTGTCATACAGAGCCTTTGGCACATAGTAGGTATTCAGTCATTATTAGAGATTCATTTTATTCAGTAGACAGAGATGAGGGGCCTTACGTAAATTAGGAGCAGTTATAAAACAAAATTTGCTGAGAGTTGTACAGAGCTCCAAGATGGATAGGTTTTTATAGGCCTCTTGTCATATAACAGTGATACTCCCTGGTCAGCCCAGCACAGAGTCAGAGCCTCAGCAGGGTGAGAGGTGCAGGGCAGCTGAGACAGGAGATGGTTCTGTATCGGCAACTTGACCAAATGAGTGAATATATTAAAGATGCAGAAGCCAAGGTTCTCACCATCGGAGATGGGGTTACAGATATGGAAAGGGAAAAAATTAGAGCGAACCCTGAAATAGGTGTTGATGGATGGTTAAATGCATTTCAATTTAAATAGATAGTTATGGGAATAAATCTTATGTACATGCACTTTATGTAGGACATATCTGTGTACATACACATGCATACCCACACACACATTCATATGTTTCTTAGCTCCAAGCACACGTAACCCCCAGATCTTGGTTTCTAAATGCCATTTTCCACTAAAGGGAAGCAGGGCTCTTGGCAGAAATAACTGATTCTAGAGCTGGGAGAAGAAAATACAAGATCTGCTTGTGCCAGAAAGCACGGAAGTACTCAAAGAATGTGAAAGGGACACAGAAGCCAGCCTGAATGAGTTTCCCCTAGCCACATCAGAGACAGGTTAAGCATCAAAATAAATATAGTGATGGATTATAGACCGTTGAATGAATGCTCACAAATATAAAACATAAATGAATACATTGAAAACTGATGAAAAGCAGATTTTTTGCATGGTTTCCAAGTAGCTCCCTACAAGATACTCATTAATTACAAAGAAGAAGAGAGTGATACATGAGAAGCTTGACAGACATTCCCTTAATCCAGCGATCAGGGTGAACATCTTCCATGATGGAGCAGGTCAGAATGATGCATGCCTGTTGAAAGGCAGGGCGCAGTGATAATCTGTGCTGTTCTGCTAAGGGTGCATCATCTGAAGCTAATTAGATGAAGGAAGGTTGAGGCATTCTGAAGTTCCCTGGCCCTTACTGTTCAGCAGTGGAAAGGCCATGAACATCCAGGAGAGGCTGAGGAGCTGTCCAGACCAAAGGAGACCTGGTGACTGAATGAATGCTCAGGGTCACTGCTGTCTGCTGTTGAGGACTCCACAGTGGGTTGTGGGTTGGATGAGGTTGTGCATCAGGGTTCGTCTTCTGTCTGGATGTATAGGAGGAAGTTCTTACTTGCAGGAAATACACATTAAAGTATTTAGAAGTGATGGAGCATCAAGTCAGTGGCTCAGTCTCATCTAGGTCAGGGCAAAATGCTTTGTATTATACTTCAGCTTTTTGTAAGTTTGTGATTATTAATTTAAAACAAAATTTTAATGATAACACTCTTGTGCTTGTCAGTGTTCTGGCCGAATCAAGTTAGCATGGCATAAGTGTGCCTTTTCTACTAAGTGTATTAACAATGCAACAGCCAAATGAGGGCACAGTTCATTTCTTGGTGAAAATCTCTTAAGGTGTCTTTTCATTGTTGGAAAATATCCATGATATTTGATAATTCAAAAAAAATGAAACAACCTGGACACTTAAAAGGGACTATAAAATATAGGCCATTTATTTTTAAAAGAGCCTTTTTAAAAAAAAATAATAATTATTGAGCTGAGCTGGGTCTTAGTTGCAGCATGTGGGATCTTGGTTTCTGCATGTGGGATCCAGTGCCCTGACCAGGAATCGAACCTGGGCCCCCTGCATTGGGAGCAAAGAGTCTTAGCCACTGGACCACCAGGGACGTCCCAGAACCTTTTAAAAAACTTTACTTTTGAGATCAGATAGATAATTCACCAGGTTTTAATCTGACTCTGATTCAGAGAAGTGTTGCCATTAGCTTGAGTAGTTTGTTCAAAACGGAGACCCACCTTGTCTTCCTTTGAGCGTAAACTTGGATTCCTGCTTGGGCTTTGTGAGTACCTTCAACAAGTCAGTGGTTAGGTGTGAGATTAGTCTTCATGAAGGCACCTTGGAAAGGGTTAGTGAACTTAGACAAAAATTAAGCCATAAATTATCAATGAAAGTGACTGCTTCCAAGTGTGCGCCTACTCTTGAGAGTCGTGGAATGTGTCTAGTCTCCTTAGGCAATTTCTCTGTGGACCACATAGCATTTCAGAGGCCTGCAGGTAAACAGACTACACATGTATAAATTCCAAGGAGAGCAAACCAGTCAATTCTAAAGAAATCAACCCCGAATATTCATTGGAAGTAGTGATACTGAAGCTGAAGCTCCAGTACTTTGGCCACCTGATGGGAAGAGCCAACTCATCAGAAAAGACCCTGATGCTGAGAAAGATGGAAGGCAAGAGGAAAAGGGGGTGGCAGAGGATGAGTTGGTTGGATGGCATCATTGACTCAATGGACATGAATTTGAGCAAATTCCAGGGAAGTGAAGCTAAGATAAAGCTTGTTTGTGCATCTGTTCTGTAAGTCAGTTCTTTGTAGCTTGGGAGAAGCCTGAACCAGGTAGATGAAGGCAGACCATCACTTACCTGTTTGTAGCTTGGGAGAAGCCTGAACCAGGTAGATGAAGGCAGACCATCACTTACCTGCAGGTGAGGTGTAACCATCTCAACAGGTGAGCCGACAGGTCTCAGGCTCTGCGTAGGATACTTTCCTACGCAGGATTCTTTCTACCTGCATTCGTTTCCCTGGGCAGAAACACCTTCTCATGGAAGAAAAATAAATGGATAATTTTTTTTCTGGGCTTCTGTGCTGTTCCTCCTGGAAATAGTGGGTTAAGTGAGCAGTGGCTTGGGGGAGGGTTTGATCTGTTTGCTTCCCTTTGTTTCTCTTTCCTGAGGTCTTGCTGGGTCTGAGGGCTTGAGAAACCCCTCTCTTTCAGAGTTGGATCAAGGTCCTTACTGGACCTTGTCTCCTTCGTTTCCTGTTAAATGTAGGCACAGGTTCAGAAGACAAAAGACCTGCTCAATAACGTGGCCTCTGATGAAGCTAACTTAGAAGCCAAAATCGAAAAGAGGAAATTAGAGCTGGAAAGAAATCGGAAGCGATTGCAGACTCTGCAGAGCGTCAGGTAGGTGTGAACGCGGGAGCGTGAGTGGAGGGCTGTCCCTGGAAGTTAAAGCAGACCGAGGGAGTGTGTGGTCAGTGGGGTTAGCCTTTCAGGCCGTGGGATGCCTCTGCTGCAGACTGTACGTGTGTCTCTTGTTCCAACAAACACAGTGTTGGGCTCAGTCTGTTGGCTGCTTTCGGTATGTCTGGAAAACTGCTTTATTCTTGAATCCCCACTTCTAGCCTTTGTAGCTTCTTGGAATGCAAGGCAAAGTAAGTAAATCCAGATGGTGAAAGTTGTTATACAAGGCCTGGCTCCCCAGACCTGTGTCCTGCCATAAATTAGGTGGGAATAGAAACACTCTTGCTTCTTGGTTGGAGTTGGTTTTAGAGCTGTGTAATTCCTCACTGGTAATTCATCTTCTTCCCTTTCCAGCATGTGCCTCACATTTTTTTGGGGTTCACTCTCTCCTCCCCCCACCGCTTTCTTTTTCTCTCCCTCCCTCTCCGCTTCCATCTCTCCACTCCCTCCCTCCCCCCAGCTTTGTATCTGCTTTTCCTTGCTCTGCCTGTTGCTCTTCGGCCCTTTTCATTCTTACATTATTTTTCTCTCTCCTTTCTCCTCTGTCCGGCTGCTGCGTCCACTCTGAACGTGCCTTGCTTGTTTGGGACACTGGTACCTGGTCTGCACTCTGGCTGCTGTCCTGAGACCTGTGGGAGGGCAGCACCTGGGGACAGCGGACAGTAGCCCAGAGAGCATCAGCCTCCCTCCTTCCCAAGGGCATGCCCTGGCCCCTCTGCCTCTGGAGTCAGGGTCACTGGATAGATTTGTCTCATTAAAAAATTCTGCCTTTCAGGTTTAAATTCAATTTTGTTAAGCGTCATATCTTTTTAATAGAAAAATTTCTGTTTTCCTCTACTCCAAGAGATTGTGAATTATTTTTCTAGTTTATCAGTTTATATTTTTAAAAGAAGAGCTGTTTCTCTTTAAGATCAACAATAGAAAATAGAAAATTCAGCAAACCAGTTTAAACTTTTTTTTTTTTTAAGTTTTTAAAAACTTATTATTTATTTGGCTGCACTGGGTGTTAGTTGCTGCATGTGGGATCTTGAGTTGTGGCTTTTGGGATCTCGTTCCCTGACCAGGGATAGAACGCAGGCCTGCATTGGGAGCAGGGAGTCTTAGTAACCTGGAAGTCACTGTTTTTAAGTTTTTATATTTTGGTTTAATTAAAACTGAGCTTTAATTTGTAGCGGCCTTTGTTTCTTTTTTTAGGGGACTGANATAATGCATACATTTAATTTATTGATTTTTAGAGATGTATACAGTTTGTGATTATTTTTAACTCTGTATTGCAGTCTGTTCTATACCGAGTGAGAAAAAAAGACCTCAGCGCTTCATTTTAAGATAGCATGCTTAATGTTTGTTAAAAAGAAATGCATTTCTGTACATACCTATGCACCAAAAAGTCTGGAAGGATGAATGTCAAATTTTAAGTGGTAACACCTAGTGATGAAATTAGGCATCATTTTAATTTTATTCTTAGTACTTTCAAGATTTTTTCTAGCTTTTACAAAGAGCCCATCTTAATATTTGATTAAATGTATCTTCCTTTTGTGGAGGGTGGGGGGAGAGAAAAGGAGAAATTAGCTTTCGTTAAAAGAATGAAGAACCTCCCCCAGTTAAAGGCTTTCCAGAGAAAGCCAGGATGGAATCTGGAGCTCTGAATACCAATTTCAAACTACTATATGTTTGTGTATTGGTTAATCTTTCCATTTTGTTTTTTTTTTCATTTTGTTGTTCTAGGCCAGCGTTTATGGATGAATATGAGAAGATTGAGGAGGAATTGCAGAAGCAGTATGAAATTTATCTTGAGAAGTTTCGGAATCTGGCTTATCTGGAGCAGCAGCTGGAGGATCATCACAGGATGGAGCAGGAGCGGTTTGAGGTGAGTGCCGAGTCCCTTCTGCACAGACCGTTGGTTCAGTTCTGGTGTGTTACTTTGTACTTGTTGACTTGCCGGTTTATGAAGAGCATCGTGAAAAAGAATATTGGATGAGTGTTTTTTCTCCCTGATCAGGCTCATGTGGTTCTTCTGTTTTCCTGGTTGTGTAGCCTGAACTCAAAAGCGGTCAGGTTTTTGATGGCAGATTTGGTCAGTCAGGGCTACAGACAGGGCCGCCACATGACCTGGGCAGTTGGTTATAACTGCGGGCTTAGAAATTCCTGGGCTGGCTTTAATGCTGTGTTGTCTTGAAACTGTTAATAATTCTAAACTGCATTTTATTTTGCACTGAGTCCCACAAATTATGTAATATGTCCTGAAGACAGATCTAAAAACTTGCTTGGTTAATTCACTGGAAGATTTTCAAGCCCTGGTTAATTGAATCATCCAGACTGGCTTTTCAGACACTTCTTTATAAAGAATTGTAGTTTATTGAGTATTGTGGGATACAGGTATGACCTTGAACCTGACCAGTTATTTTACAAGCTTCCTCTCATCCCAGTGTATAAAGTCATTTAGGAAAGAGTATTTCAGGTCCCAGCATCAGTTGATAAATATGGAATCAGAGCTAAGGAAGTTGGATCGCTGTCATTTTGAATTGTCCTTATCCTCTAAGAATATTTCTCCTTAACCCAAGAATGATCTTTTGAAGTCTGTGTTCACAGCGAAACTGGTCTGCAACCTCCCTTTCCCCTGCTGTCCTTAACAACTTTTGGTATAAAAGTCATCCTTGCCTTCTTAAAAACCTGGACATTTGAATTAGGTGACGCTACTTAGTTGTCCCGGAGAGCTGGCTGTGAGTGGCTTATCACCTTCATCTGGACACATTTATCTGGACAGGGAACCTGTTGCCACTCTTGCTATATGGCAGAGGCAGGAACGGGGGACCCAGGACAGGCACATTTTGAGGGCAATGAAAAGACCCTGGGGTTCTGGAAGTCTTAAACACTGAGCATCTGGGAAAGAGCAGTAAAGAGACAGTGAAAATAAGCTGACCATTTTGTACTGTGTTCTGGGCCACCCCGGGCTCGGAGAACGTATGGAAGAACATGCCTCAGGACATGAGTGGGCACCCTGGGTGACTTCTGAGGGGCCCCTCCTTGCCCACCGTCCTTTTGGCAGCACCTGCTGGCTCACACCTGCTCCTGGGCTTCTGGTACCTGGTCCCTCAGAATATATCAGTGTGGGACATGGCTTCCTTTGTAATGTTTAGAACAACAGCACCTTTTTTAAAGCCGATTTCCTCTCCCATTTTCTCTTGAGAATAATCAGGGTCACATTTTATAACCTAACTCAAGTATTGGCTTTTAAAAAAAATATCCTAGGAATTAAGATGAGTCTTTCTTTCTTTCTTTTCCTATTTGATCACTTCCACCATTTAGCACCTCTCAGAGCTAGAATTGTGCAGGGGAGGAAAATGATAAAATTCCTGCTTTATTTTATTAGCAAAAGGCCCAGAGTTGATGCATCTGTTTCTGTGTCCACATCCCACACCAGCACGGGTGGCAGACACTTCGTTGTGTCGTCACTTTTCTTCAGAGGCAGTTAGGTGTGATGGAAGGAGCGTGGGTTTGGAGGCCGGTCAGGCCCGTCTTGGCCAAATGTGTCCTTTCTGGGAGCCCCCCACTTCCATCCAGCTCCCTGGGTGATGACAGAGAAGGAGCATCAGGTTTCCTCTGCGGTGTCAGTTTTCCTCCCCTTCCTGTAGCTCAGTCTTTTTTGCTTTTGCATCACAAGTCTAGCAGTACTTACATGGTAAGAAGAATAAAACAGTCCAAAAGGGTCCTTTCTCCTGGCTGTTGCTTCTCCTGCTCCACAGGAAACTGAGAACACTCTCCGTCTGATGCAGAACAAGCTCAAGGAGGAAGGAAAACGTCTGCTCAAGAGCGGAAGTAAGTCCACACGTTTAAGCAGATGTGCTTTTTCTGGACTAGTGTTTTCAGCCTTGGAAAACTTAACATGCACATTTTATTTATTTTTTCAAAAGGTGATTCTCTCACAACTTTTATATCACTACCATTTTAATTTAGGAGCTTGAGAGTGTGTTAAAAATTACATACCATTTAAAGCACATTTGGTTTTCATGCCAACTGAAATCTTATTTTCCCCTATTTAAATGATAGTTATTAGTTGGAGTTACATATAACTATAGAAGAAATCTTGTTTTCAGCAGTCTGTAGGGTTCCTTATTTTAGGGCAGACTGAGGGGCAGCAAGTATTGTGATGAGGTATAAGTGCATCTGCTTGAAGGTTAGTCCACCCAACACGTGTCCCCCCAAGGTCCAGAGTCCTTTGTCTAGGCTTTCCCCTACAGAGAAATGGGGGCGACCTACATGTAAGACCTCGATTCTGGGAAGGAGTCGTCTCTGAGGCTGGTCAGCCCACTTCATCCACAAACTTTACCAGGGTGTCAGGTCAGCCCTGGGAGCAGTCGCAGCACCCGATCGTCATGTGGGATTGGTGGCTGCGTCTCCGAGACTCTCTTCTTGCTTATTTCTCTTTTCTTGTGATGGTTTCTCTTGAGTGCTCGCTGCAGTGTCCCCGGGACAGCAGGCGTGCGTGCTTGCTCTCTCTGTCTTTTCCTTCTGTGTCTCTTTGCTGTTGTACTTGTTCTGTGCCTCTCTCTCCTGAATCTTAGGAAACTCTGTCTGGAAGGAGCATAGGGTCTGCTGGGGAATCCTTATAGGGGTGAGCTTAGAAAATTCCCTGGGCCTCTCTAGCCAAAGCAGCCCCTCACCTTTATGGTTCCAGGTCAGCCAGGAGTGCCTGATGCAGCCCTCAGCGACAAGCCTGCATGGAGTGTGTCCCCCTCTGAGAGGCCCAGCACAGGTAAGTGCCTGGTTCCCCTGCATCCCGCTCTGCCCTGGACCAGCACATCGAGACCTTTCTCACTGAGCCTGCTTTATTCTTCTGAACTCAGACCTTAAGTTTGTGATCCATAGATTTGGGATCTCATGAAAGACAGAGATTCTCATGAGTATGTGTGATTTAGTGTTTTCTGGAAAAGTAATTTTCAGTTTAAACGAGCCTAATGAAGGGTAATGCTTAATTAGCTTGTGGTGAGCAAAGAAGTTAGGAAAATAACGTATGAAGCACCATTCTCAGTTCTGCTCCTCCTGAGCCACCTAAGCTTCCCTGTCTGTCTTTGCTTTTCTCCACATGTGGGAACATTGTCCATAGTGGACAGTGAAAGTGTTAGTCACTCAACCATATCCAACTCTTTGCAACCCCATGGACTGTAGCCTGGCAGCCTCCTCCGTCCGTGGAATTCTCCAGGCAAGAATACTGGAGTGGGTAGTCATTCCCTTCTCCAGGGGATCTTCCTGACCCAGGGATTGAACCCAGGTCTCCTGTATTGGAGGTGGATTCTTTACCGTCTGAGCCGCCAGGGAAGCCCACCAGGGATATAAATGAGGAGAGGTAGAAAGGAAGACTTTCTGAATTCTTCTTTATTTGTGAGAAAGTCCTCTGAACAGAACAGTCTAAAGTACATAGACTTGAATCGGAGGTGAGGATGAGCAAAATCCAAGATCTGGAAGAGATCATTTTGTTCAGGTTACTCTGTGGGTAGCTGATTTAACCCAGCAAAGCATTATTGAGTATAGGTTCTGGGTGCTGAGGACGTTTCAGTGGACAGTAAATGGGGATCCTTGCCTTAAATGAATTTCTGGGCTGGCGACATGCTTGGGGACAAACAAGCAAGCTGTTTGTGGGAGGTGAAAAATGCCCCTGGGGGAAAGTGGAGCAGGTCAGGACATGGAGAGGGGGCCATGGAATTGCAGTTGTAAAGAGGAGTCAGGGGAGACCTCATGAGGAGACTCTGTTTAAGCAAAGATCAAATCAAAGGCACTGGGAAGATGGGAGCTACCAGAGAGGGAAAGTCCAGAAAGCCTGGCAGCCAGGGCCTAGGGTCAGGGGTGAGTTTCGCTGAGCAAGGAAGCATATGAACACACAGGGCTCAAGCTGAGGCAATTCGATGAGCTGGACGGTGGGTCGTATGCTTGAGGGCTCACATCCAATGGAGCCCGTCTTCTCTGTTAAGCAAGAAATGAAGTCACGTAAGATTTGGCTTGGGGGTTTGGAGTGAGGGGTTTGAGGAAGAGAATAGCTGAGTAATTAGAGATGGAAAAGTGCCACAGGCCCCAGAGATTAAAAAGACTAAGTACTTTGTTCAGATGCCGGGTAATAAAAGTCAAGGGCGACACTTCATCTCCCCACCAGCGTCTTAAACCTTGTTGCTGGTGATAAGTGTCTAACTAGATACTCTGTAGAATTCAAGCACTGTAGTGTTAGGAACTGAAGGCCTCCTCTGACTTCATAAAATGACCCAGGAATGTCTTGAACGCAACTGAGTAGCCCTGTCATGGAGTGGAGAGCAGATACTCAGGCCTGTCACGCACGTTCCCGGCTGCCTGCCGTATCAGGCGCTGCCCCAGCGCCCAGCGATGGAGGAGGAGCTGAGGGAGCTCCCTGGCCTGAAGCCCCGGCTGTTCCCGGCCATGAGCTGGTGTGAAAACTTGAAACGGGGCCAGGCCAAATTAGATGCACTGTTTGTAGCAAATACACACCAGATTTTGAAGACTTGATATAAAAGGAAAGTAAAATTACTCATTAACATTTTTTTATGTTGGCTACTTATTGAAATGATGTTTTAGGTATATTGGGTTAAATAGAGCATTATTGAAATTAATTCACCTGTTCTTTTTGCTTTAATGTACTTACTGGAAAATCTTAAATGGCATCTGGGGCTGGCATATTTCTGTTGGACAGTGCTTATCTAAAAGAAACCTATAAAAAAACCTGCCTGTAGTTTAATCACTGTGGTTTTGATTTGAGTTTCTCCGAAATAGCTATTGAAATGGAACGTCTTTTTGTCTGCTTTTGGCTACCTGTATATCTTCTTTGGAGAGATCTATTCTAGACCTTTGCACATTTTTTAATTGGTTTACTTTTTTTTTTTAATGTTTATTTTTATTTATTTATTTGGCTGCCCTGGGTCTTGATTGTGGCATATGGGATCTAGTTCCCCGACTATGGATTGAACCCAGGCCCCTTACATTGGGAGCACTGAGTCTTAACCACTGGAAGTCCCTGGGTTATCTTTTTATTATTGAGTTATATGCTCTAGATAGTAGACCCTTATGTGATTTGCAAATATTTTCTGTCATTCACTTTCTAGATGCTGTCCTTTGTTGTTATAGAGTTTTAATCTAGTCCAGTTTATTAATTTTTTTTCTTTTATTGCTGTGCTTTTAGTGACATGTTTGAGAAACTGCCAAATTCAAGGTCACCAAGATTTACCCATGTGTTTTCTTCTAGGTGTTTTATCATTTTAATTCTTACATTTAGATCTCTGACCCATTTCAGGTTAATCCTTTGTGTGTGGTGTGAGGTAGGGGTCCAGCTTCATTCTTTTGCATGTGGCTGTCTACTTGTCCCAGCAGCAAAGATTGTTCTTTCCCTGGTGAATCTTCCCGGCACACTTGTTGGCTGTACTCATATTAATGTGTCGCTGACAGCTCGACTTCAGTGATCTTTGTGTTAGCACCATTAACTTTATGTTCTTGACCCTCAGTCCATTGCTGCGAGTTGTCAGAAGAAATCATACTGAGCCTGAGGTACTTGTTTTAATGTTGGGTTAAAATTCGTGATATCATTTGCTTTGTATTGCATGGGGTGAAGACTTAATGTCAGATTTTGTCTGGAGGAAGTAAAAAGTGAACTGATCTGAAGAGTGATTTCACTTTATGGTCATTTATTTGTATTAATCCCGTTCTCTGTAATGGCTTTTATAAGGGGGTAGTTTTTGGGTTGATTGTGCTGAGGTCCTCTCAGGATGCTCTTACTGACACTTTCTGCAGCTGCTGGCTCTGGCCTCCGTGCTGTAGGGCACAGCGCTTTCCTCCAGGGTGGATGGAAGCAGCGAGCGTTTCCTCAGAGCCCACCCAGACGCAGCTGCCGCGTCATCACTCTCTACAGCAGGGGCTCATAAACAAAGCATTGTCACACCTGAACAGTGACTCTACTTCCAAAATGTCTTAAGAATCAGTGATCAGAACAACAACTGCTTTCTTCCAGTTCCATCCTTCTGAAACCTCTGCCACTCTCTGTGCACAAAGAAACCTGGCTGGGCAGTGACGTCTTTTCCTCCCCACTGTGGAAACTCCTGTAGGTTTACAGGAAATGTTCGCGCTGCACTAGACTCCAGAGGGTTGTTTAGGAAATTAACGTAAAAGGCTGTTGCATTGAGAACCACCTCTCTTTATTTTCGTAGTGAATTTTCTCCAGTTAAGAATATCACAGGCCCCAGTTTTCACTGCCAGTTACCAGGCAGCCCCTCAGGCTCTTCCTGGCCTGCCTTCTTCTTGCCTCCAGGCTTGTTTTGCTGAACAGAGAATGGCCCCCCACCCCCCCCACCCCCAAACTAGCAAAGAACTTCCAACTCCCTTGACAGCTGGCTGTCAGTGTTTTAGTTTTACATGCTGGAATAGTGTTTCTGATATAACTGACCCACTTTTTTCTTGTTTTGAAAAACTGTTTTTTTAAAAAAACTAGCTTATCCTTATCTGCATGAACCCTTCCCTAAGGAGCTGTAGGCAGTTCCCAGGAGACGTATAGAATCAGATGATCCCAGGAAAAGCTGAGCAGCACAGATGGTTCTTCACAAGAGCCTCACTGGATGGGGGCTGTTTTAGAGGGAATGATGGAGCTGCCTTTTTGTTTTGCCTCCTTGTGTCCCTGCCAGGTAATGATGACTCTGACATTGACATCCAGGAGGACGATGAATCCGACAGTGACATGGAAGAGAGACGGCTGTCCAAGCTGCATACGGCCATGGAGGTGCTCATGCAAGGTACCCCAGCCTCGCTCGCTCACCCCCTGCCCTGCCCCTGGGCCCAGGAAACCGCAGCCGGACTGCAGTCAGGGCTGCTGGGTTTCCAGGCCCGTACGCACACTGCCCTGTTGTTTATCAGGAGTTTGCTCTTAACCTGCCTAGTGGTCATCTTTGCTGCTGATACTCTTACCTTTGGCCCCAAGAAGAGCCAGACTTATTGTAGATTGGTGCTTCTCACAGAGGCCACGGAACATACTGCCTCCACTGAGGAGCTGAATTCTTTCCTTTTTGGGTCCAAACTGGTCTTAGTGCAATTACGTCCTTTATGGTAAGAGAATTAATGCACAGATAAGGGACCTATGTGTGAACATCTCTGCTGTTAAAACCTGTTTTTAGTTTCTGCCTTCTCACTGCAAAAGATTCAAGCAGTAAAAGAACATGGAGTGAATGTGGGTGCCTCCCTGGGGCCTTCCTCATGTCCCACTCCCTACCCTATAGGGGTTGTGGCTTGGGGCTGGGTCCTTCTAAATTGCCTTTCTGCACATGCAAACACACACATCTTCTCTTTTTCTCAGGACAACCCAGCAAGCGCGTCGTGGGCACAATGCAGGGTGGAGACACGGACGATGACGTGAGTCCTGACCAGCCCCTTGAGCAGCCCTGGTCTTGGTGGTCCTGGGCCAGCCTCATCACCTAGGTTGACCAAGGAGCTGAGTGCATCTCACCAGTTTAGTTTAAGGAGCTGCTTCTCAACCTGGCACGTTGCTGGGTCTGTGGCAAGAGCTTGGCCTCCCAGGGAGCTGACCTCTCGTCTTTGCTTGTTGATGGATCATTTCTTTTCTTTTCAAATGAACATGCTTGCCCTACTTTTGTTTTTCCTTCTCATTGTTCTTTCCATTCTTGCTTTCCAAAGATGGAAGCAGCACCAGCTCTCTTAGGTAAATGCACGACTTCCAGCTCCAAGAAGCAGGTTGGTTTTCTTTTTCGCCTCATCCGTTTGTGTGTGTGTGAGCTGCTCGGGGCCAGCAGAGAACCTCCTCCAAGAGTGATGCCCGGTGTCCAGGGGCAGGAAGCCACTTACGTGGTTTCCACAGTGGGTGGTGGAGTTACCTAGAGGTCCCTGTGTTAATGAGGAGGAGGGGTGGATGCTGGGCCGAGACAGGAAAGGTGGTCAGGCCTCTGAACCGTATCCTAGAAAAGAAGGGCTGCTGTTGAGGGCTGGGGTCAGGACCAGCTCCATTCTCGGGAGGGGATATAGAAGGCAGGCTCTCCTGAGACCAGGGCCCGGAGAGGCTGTGACATCAGGCTGCCGGCGCCCTCAGCGCTGTTGAATGAAAAGCTGACTGGGGGCCAACGGAATGGGCTCCGGTTGTTGGGGCTGCACCGTTCACTGCTCTGGACCTGCTGCTTTGTGGAGTCCCTGGCAGGGCTGTGAGGCCCAGGAGGTGAAGGGTGATTGGATTGATGGAGTCAGAGACCTTCCGTCCAGGTGAATGCCGTGTGTGTCTGGAGCATGGCATTAGCACCCTCACACAGAGCCTAGGCCGATATTCTTCTACAAAAGATCCACTGATTGGGTCCCAGCCGTGTGGCCTGGGGAGCACTGTCTGGCCCTGCTTATGATTTGCTTGATCTTTGGTATAGCTTTCTACTTTTCTGAGCGATCACTTTATTTGTAGTTTAAAGTCTCCTCTGTGCCTATTGCTGCTTGTTAATTTCAAGGAGGCTGTTTCCATGCAACACCTTGGGTCTGTCCTTCACCTGTTCACTCATTCACTCGCCGGGTCCTTGTTGAGTGCTGGTTATGTCTCAGGCACTGTAAGGGGTTGGGGAATACAGCTGTGAACAGAACCAATCCCCTGCCTCCATGAGGCTTATATTCTAATGGTCATCAATCAGATATGTCCAGTGTCATCATGGTAAGAAAAATAAAGCAGGTTCAGGGGAAAGAGTGACAGGGATGAGGGTTCTGCCTGAGTGGTAGGGGGAGGGTTGTGCTTGGGGAGGGGCTGTGAAGATTTGGGTGGAGGGCATTTGCAGGGGTCTGATTCAGAAGTGAGAGTGGTGGTAGCAGGAGACTGTTGAGAAGTGGTGTTTCTAAGCTAAGAACCATCAGGTTTTGTTAATTGGACATGAAGTATTGGAAATGCCCTGGTTGTGACTTCATTGGCTGAAAGTGTAGTTTTCATTTTCCAAGGGGGGCAGACCTCAGGGTGGGGCCCGGAGAGCAGACAGGAGGTCTGGTTTGGTCATTCTCAGAGTCAGTCATCTACTCGGCATCCACATGCTAGTGCTGAGAAGCCAGTTGTATTCAGGTCTGGACTTAAGGTCTGAGCTGGAGACCGAATTTGGGGGAACCTCCCTAAGACCACCATGAGGGGTGACATGATTGCTTGGGAAGGGAAGTAGAGAGGAAGAGCAGAGGCCCGAGCCAACTCTGTATCACAGTGGTCAGGGGGGAGAGCAGGTCTGCACACTTGGCTGAGAAGATTTGAGAGTGAGGGGGGCGAGCACAGAAGGGGGTCTCGGTGGGGGAGCAGTCTGGTGTTCGGGTCAGGAATGGAGAACTAATTACCTGTAGCATCTGAGTCCATTGACTGTTTCAGTCTTGGGGTCCTCGCTGGGAGAGCATGGCTGGAGGGTGCTGAGAGGGCAGAGAGCAGGGCCTGTGTGAGCTCAGAACTCGCTTAGGGGTTTGCTGTGAGGCCACGGAGAGCAGGACTGAGTAGCTGTGGAGGAGGATAGGTTACATGTTAGAGTGTTTTTTCAAACAGAGGGCAATTGTGCGTTGGTGGGAATGGTCTGTATAGAGTGACTGACCATCCTGGTTTCCCCAGGGGTACAGGACCTGCAATTTGAAAAAGCTGGCTGAGTTGGTGACCCTCATTTAGATGATGAGAGAGAGAGAGAATGATTCTTTTAGTTTGCTCCTTACACCCATTTCCTGAGTGGCTTTACATCCAAAAGCCAAAGTAAGCCCCCCTCCCTCTCTCCAAGCCCCTGTCCTCCTGGCTGCCTTCTGTGATGGGGGGTGTGTGGAGGGAGCTCTGGGCCTTTACAATCAGATCCATGCTGTTCCTGAGACAGAAGAAGGAGAACCACCTGCAGCACCAGCCTTAGCTCACATGCGGCTGTTTAAGGACACACTTATGCATGTGTTACTATCCCAGCCAGCAGTCTGTAGACCCTGACCCTGTTCTTACGCCCCACAGTCTCACTGTTTCTCTTCCAAGCTCTCCCTTCACATAGGTTTTGCTGGTTATTGAGCTGCTAGTGAAAAAGCAAGGTAGGGTCTTTGCTGACATAACATCAGCAACCAGAGGGACCCCTCAGCTGTACTCACTGTCTCCTCTGCAGGAAGACTTGGAGGACAGTGAGATTGACATGGAGGATGACGAAGAAGACGACGATCTGGAAGATGAGAGCGTGGCACTCTCACCAGCTAAGCCCAGTCGAAGAGGCCGGAAACCTGAGCCCCTGGATGAGAGTGACAGTGACTTCTGACCTTCTTGCCGAGGGACCTAGGCAGATTAAAACCCTCAGATTTGTAGGGAAAGGGGAAATTGAGGAGGCAGAAGAAAAGAGGCTTTTGTTGGATAAGCCAGCTGGACTTGTTGTTAATGAAGCAAAGCCTGTTTCTGGTTTAGTTTCCTGGGTGTTGCTCACACATTCCAAAGCTTAAACAGGAACCGGAGCCAGTCCCACAGAGGATTTTTTTTTTTTTTTGGCCTTTTCTCTCTCCTAAAACTTGGGAAATGCATGTATTCCTAGTGATTCACATCCATAGGGCAAAAACTTTTGAGAAATAACAGCCAACACCATGTAAGTCTTGGCTGTTATAGTTTGTCACACTTTTTCTCTGAAAGTCAGTGGGACCTTCCCAGACTTAGGGCTGAAACTGGGCACAGGACTCATTTCAGGAACTTTAGGGCAGTCAGAACATTCACGTTGTATCATTTTTTGAGTCTAGGCTTTAATTCACTCTGTAGTCTTATTTTCCTTCTTCTGCACATTCACAATACCAAGTTTTAAATGTATTTTACTAACTAAAGTTTTCTGAAAGAAAGTAGCTAATTCATATGAAAACCAGCTTTCCTTGAAGATCAGGTAACAGAGAGATGCTCAGGTCATGCACACTTCATTTTCTCTCAGAAGGCTGATGTTCCTCCATAGGAAGGGGGAAATTAAGGGAAAAGTGTTGGTACGTATTCATGTTTCTGACTTAAAAAAATAAACCATATTGAATTTAATAGAATAGCACTAGAAGAATTTCCCTTTTGTGACGCAAGAAGTGACAGGTATGTGGATTTTGCTTTGCTTTGGTTTTGTTAATACACAGAACAAGCACAGAGGAGTTTTCGTTTACTTTTCAATTATAAAATCAGAAGACTTGGGAAGTTCTTTATCTCAATAAATGTACTTTACACCATATTTTTATACTATTTTTATTTGAAAGTATAATTATTTGTACCTATAACATATAAATTCTTCTTCAAGAAACGTTCATTGATTATTACTGGACATGTGAATTGTAGGAGGCTATGTGATAATTATTTCTGTCTTTGCTTTTTTTTTTTTTTTTTCCTTAATTTTTCCTTAGGGGTTTCTTTTTTTTTTTGGTAAACATTCAGTGTTCAATTAATTCACCAGTAATTTGAGCTATCCCATCTTTGATAAGCTGACTAGGGAGTAAGTGTGTTGGGAGTCACGTGAACCTACTTGGAAGCCATGGCTTTTAAGCACAAGTTGCATCTTCTTGGATGTTACAGCTGTGGTTTAGCTGAATCTGACCTGACTTCTTCAAGCACAGAGGAGTTTTCGTTTACTTTTCAATTATAAAATCAGAAGACTTGGGAAGTTCTTTATCTCAATAAATGTACTTTACACCATATTTTTATACTATTTTTATTTGAAAGTATAATTATTTGTACCTATAACATATAAATTCTTCTTCAAGAAACGTTCATTGATTATTACTGGACATGTGAATTGTAGGAGGCTATGTGATAATTATTTCTGTCTTTGCTTTTTTTTCTGTCTTTCCCTAAATTTTACATAAGAGATTACTCTTTTTTTTTGGTAAACATTCAGTGTTCAATTAATTCACCAATAATTTGAGCTATCCCATCTTTGATAAGCTGACTAGGGAGTAAGTGTGTTGGGAGTCACGTGAACCTACTTGGAAGCCATGGCTTTTAAGCACAAGTTGCATCTTCTTGGATGTTACAGCTGTGGTTTAGCTGAATCTGACCTGACTTCTATTTTAAAAAACAAAAAATATATTTGTTTCCCTCATGTGATCTTTCTTCTGATGGGCTTTAACATGGGAACCCTGCCCAAGTCACAGATGATGTGTCCAACTGTTTCTAGGTAATTGTGTCCCAGAATGAAGCTCAAGACTATTTTAAGAAATACAAAAATCATCAGTCCCCAACAAGAGAAACTTTTCAGTGTCTGGTATCAAAAATTACCAGGTGTAAGAAAAGTCAAGAAATGACCCAGAAAGGCCAGTCAATTAGTGGAAAAGGACAGACAATTCTGACTGTATTCCATATACTCAGACAACAGGAAAGCGTGAGCAGGCTGTGAGATGTGGAAGATGGAAAGTCTCTAGACTTTCAGAACTGCTGGAGGTTTAAAAACCAAGAGGGAAACCAAGAGCGGATTAGACACTGCAGAAGAAAACATCGCTGACCCTGAAGACACAGGGCATGTTTGTCCAACATGGAATACAAAAATTCCTGACTTCTGTTTTAAAAAACAAAAAATGTATTTTTTTCCCTCATGTGATCTTTCTTCTGATGGGCTTTAACATGGGAACCCTGCCCAAGTCACAGATGATGTGTCCAACTGTTTCTAGGTAATTGTGTCCCAGAATGAAGCTCAAGACTATTTTAAGAAATATAAAAATCATCAGTCCCCAACAAGAGAAAGTTTTCAGTGTCTGGTATCAAAAATTACCAGGTGTAAGAAAAGTCAAGAAATGACTCAGAAAGGCCAGTCAATTAGTGGAAAAGGACAGACAATTCTGACTGTATTCCATATACTCAGACAACAGGAAAGTGTGAGCAGGCTGTGAGATGTGGAAGATGGAAAGTCTCTAGACTTTCAGAGCTGCTGGAGGTTTAAAAACCAAGAGGGAAACCAAGAGCGGATTAGACACTGCAGAAGAAAACATCGCTGACCCTGAAGACACAGGGCATGTTTGTCCAACATGGAATACAAAAATGACCCCCCAAGTCCCATTGTGTTGGTTATCCATTTATTGCCTCAGCTTCAAATTCACCTTTTGGGCTGCTGTATGCTAGTGAAGCTGTTGCTTGTCAACCCTGCTTGAGGGCAGAAGGGGGCAACAGAAGATGAGATGGTTGGATGGGCATCACCAACTCAATGGACATGAACTTGGGCAAACTCTGGGAGATGGTGAGGGACAAGGAGGTCTGCCATGCTGCAGTCTATGGGGTCGCAAAGAATCAGACACAGCGTGGTGACTGAACAACTGCAGCATGTTAGTCATGGTCAGTAGGGTGCTTGAGAAACTGGAGGAGGGAGGGGCTCCCCTTCCAGCTCTGGCTAGCTTGTGCTGAGACCCCTGGGGCTTCTCCAGTGCTAGTTTCCTGCACGGCACCGCTGTCTCCAGCGTTTGACCGCTGTGACTCTTGTCCGTCACGTTCTCAACTCAGCCAGAACAGTGCAAACCAGGAGACAATACAGCCACCTCTTGAAAGTGCTGAAAGAAAAGACTATCATCCTGAAATTCTATACCCAGAAAAAATACCTTTCAGAACCAGTAATCTGTTGAAGATTATTTAAGACTTAAGACCAAATTTCCCTGCCTTCCAAATAATTTTATAGCTGATTCTTTCCCCTCTAGTCTTGGATCCAATCAAAGCTCTTAAGTTGTTAAGACTCTTTAATAATAAAACAGCCCCAGCCTTTTTGTATTTTTCATGATGTTGATTATTTTTAAGAGGTCATGCTAGTTTATCCCAGACTACCCCTCAATTTGGATTTTGTCTGACTGTTCCTTCATGATTAGATTCAGGTAAGCACTTCTGGCAGGAATAGTACATCAGTGATGTGTCCTCCTCAGCCATCACACTGAGGGCACAGGGTGTCCATTTTTCCCATCATCAGTGATGTGGAGTTTCATCACTTTGACAAGGTGACATTTGCAAAATGTCTCCACTAAAAAAAAAAATATTATACCAGCATATTTTTTATTTTAGCTTGTGGAATCTTAGTTTCCTCGACAAGAGATCTAACCCATGCCCCCTGTATTGGGAGAGCAGAGTCTTAACCTCTGAAATGCCAAGGAAGTCCCCAAAATGTCTCCATTTTTATGGAACCGTTGTAAATACCTCTCTGTGGGGTAATACTCAGAGACTGTATGATTTTCTTTCTTAGTAGGATTTCATTCATGGTTATGTCATCCAATGATGTTTCTTACCCAAATACTCATTTTTAAAGAAACATTTGGAACAATAGTTACTGTTCAGGTTTTAAAATGATAATTATAACTTCCATAACCATTTTCCTTGGTTATGTAGTTGAAGAACCCCTGATGTTCATTTGGAGTAGTTTTCCTTCAAACACTGAAAGGCATCTGAGGGAGTTTATGCCATGTGGAAGCTTGACTGTCTTGCTCTCATGGGGAAGCTGTAGATGCAGAAGTGCTTTGGGGAACCTAATACAGAAAGTATGAAGACATCGATATTTAACATGCCATTGATAACCACCATGCCAGATTCCAAGTGACATACAGTGGACATAATCTCTGTCTTTGAGAGACTTTGTAATGAGTGAAAGATGACAGAAACCTTGGAGAACTTTTTTTGTCTTTGCTCCAGAATCCTATAATTAAAGCCTTCCTTTCTCTTCAAAATTTTTTCCTGATTTTTCCATATGACTCTAAAGATCATACTGTCAGTGATGCCAAATTGACACTCTTCATGGGCTTGAAGATGGCAGTTCATTTCAGAGTGAGGGTGATTTTATCCAGGGAAGTCATGATAAGAAAAGGTAGGGGCACATTAAAGACCCCAGGACATAAATAGGCACTGACTGGCTTCTTGCTGATCTCTGAGTCCCGTCCCTGAGTCCCTTGGCAGAAGACCATCTGTTCTCCGTGCTGTAGCGGAGCGTCCATCTCTCCCCTGCCCGGACTGACCCTGGACCAGGAGAGGGGCTCGTATCCTCCTCTGGCAGCTTCTTTCCCTGCCTCCTTGCAGAAGACCAGCACTCTTGTGGGTCAGCATCATTCCCAGACTGCAGGAAGGCACCCTTGAGAAATAGTCCTTTTGTTGGAACGTTTTCAGCTATGTGTCTACCAGATCCACCAGGAACTTGTTTTGCTCACATTTCCACAGTGCACAAGGGAGCATTTGTCTTGATAGCCTCCGAGATCATCCTGGCACCAGACTCTCCAATGTGGTTTCCCTGGAGACTGGAAGAGAAGGATCAGGACAGGGCTTGAGAAACTGGCTGGAGGCCTGAAGATCCTCATCAGTAAGGAGCAGGTGGTCACTACCTGAAACGCTAAACCCAGGTGAAACTTGCATGCTTCCACTGTCCCTCCCATGGACGAGGCTCCAAATGGCCCTCTTGTATACGGAGTTCCCTGTGGAGCTACTGGGGGACTGGGGTCAGCTGGCTTCGAGGTTCAGAGGGGAGGCAGGGCCTGACCTGGAAGCACTTCTAAGGGTGAACCAAGCTGGTGGGAAAGGGCAGGTGCCGCTGAGCCCCACTCACTTGATGTGCCGGAGCCCGTGGTTTCCAGACAGTGCAGTGGCAACGCATATCGCCCCCTCCATTCCCAAGGAATTCTCTTGAAGACTAGGCAGAGAAGAGATGGAGATGCCACAGTGAGCCCTTCAGGACAGAAGGACATGCCCAGGAAGCAGAACGGCACTCCCTTGGAGGGACCCGTCTGGGCCTCATTGGTCCACAGCTGCCATAGCAACAGCCAAGTGGCATTTAACCCCGAGACCCAAGTCTGCAAGCAGCGAGGTCGTCTCATGCAGGTGCCGCAGAGGACGTATGACTGAAAATGCGCAAGGGAACAAACCCATCCACAATACTGACTAATAATGACTATAGTGTCAGCTATTTGTATTTTGAAAAGGGAGCAGCTATGGCAGAAAGCAAGCAGTATGCTACAGGGAGAGTCCAGAAGAGAAGCTGGCTGCTCTGAGGCGCAGGTAGGTCTGTGCAGCCACTCACTTGAGTCTCCGGAGACTGGAATTGACCTTGAGCGCATTCGCCAGGGCTTTGGCTCCAGCCACCTCGATGGTGTTTCCTCTTAAGCTGTTAAGAAAGGCGGGAACCCTGAGGCACAACCTCAGGCCCAGTGACAGCTGAGAGGGGCGCCCGGCACCCCTTCCGGTGAGCGTGGGTGCCTGGGTGGAGGCAGCGTGGACTCAGCAACCGTG